GGTGTGGTCTCTATTGAATTTTTTAATCAATTTGACATCATACTGCTTTCATGTTGAAATTCAAGTTGAATGGTCTTAATTTGCCAATTAGATGTTGCATTATCAAAAAAATAAACAAAAATGAAATAAGTTGAGAAATGCCATTATCCATATAGAAGGTTGTGAATCTTATGTTGATTCTGTGAAGCTATAAGGCAGGTTCTCTAGTGAAATTATTCTATACGGATACGGATGTCATCCGGAGGCGAATCAAAATGTACCACATCAACCATTTGTTATGTACCGGGTGACATGACGCATTCTGATTCACCTCCGGATGATTCGGTGTTCGCACAGAATAATTTATCGGTTCTCTGATATTTTAACACTTTTACTTTATTCATGATCTGACTAGTTTGACACCAGCTGTGTGAGTTGTGATTTAGATAGTATATCCCTACAAACCAGGCAAAAAGGAAGTACCCATAGGGCAAGGGTATCTAAATGATACTAGAAGAAGGCTCAGGAAGGAGGAGGCAACGCTAAAGCAAAATGGTCAGCATTTATTATGAAAATGTTTGCTTGAGTTTGAATTGACACCAATTGTATCCTGAACAAATATATTGCCTTAAAGAAAACAAGCCAAACTGGAGATGGCAAGTGATGATACTGCTTTACATACTGAAATGAATCATAGTGTTGAATGATAAAATATTTTCATCTGCAACCCTGGAGTTCATGATTAAAAACTGTAAGAGCGGCAATTATTCTGAAATGATAGACGATGGAAATGATGTTCATTTGCTCTTAAGCTAATGAGCTGGCTGAATCTTGACTTCTGAGCTCATCGAATGTAATAATGTACTCACTTAAAATGTTAAAAAGAATTATAGAAAAATTAGCGAGATTTTTAAAACTGTTTTAATAACTATGTACATAAGCTCTTAAATTTTAATGTATTTTAAGTATCTTTAATCTTATATTGTTAAGCAAGTTTCGCTCATGAAGTAATGAGTTGAGTCAGGATTGATTCAATCTTGACTTCTTAGTTCATCAAATTTAATTTATAAGCCACTTTTTGAGTTGAGTCCGAGCTGACTCACAAGTCATTGACTCAACTGCACTCCTCTCTACAAATTAGCAAAGAGTTTGTGCTAAGCACATGAAAAGAACTACCCCTATCCTCTTGCAAGGCTACTCTATGCAAAACATTTGTTGTTAAGTTGGTCAAATGAACCTATTGGTAGTCATGTGCTCCAAATTTCAAAAAATAGCCCTATTGTGTTAATCCACCTGATTTTTTCTAAGAAATGAGTTTAGTTACTTGTAAGTGAGATTGATAATCTTTTGTCTGTAACTAGTAAAAAAAACTGCATTCGAACTTGTAAATTCAGTGTTCAAAATGCATTTTCAGGCTCTTCTCCTCCCTGGAATGCATATTGTATGCCATTTAACTAGTTTTTTTTTTAATAATTTTTTTCTTGTAATTTAGGATATATTTGAGATGGCTGTTATAAAGTTAGTTTTCAAGTTCTTGTAGAGAAAACAACTTTGCTATTATGATTGTAAAAATCAGTTTTTCATCAAAAAAGTTTCTAAAAACAGTGAGAAAGTATTGCCTAAACTGAGGCTTGGTTTGGGACAACTTTCTTATTCTTTTTATGATAGTTTTCTAGTAAAAAAAATTTTTTTAGAGAATTTTTGTATTAAAAAATAGCTTTAATAAGCAGTAAGAAAGCCGTCCTAAACGAAGCATAAATTTTGATTTATGTTTGAAAAGTATAGCAACTGCAAATTTGTTCCAAATAGACACTTATATTAAAACAATGCTTACGTTTGAGAATGCAAAACAAAAATTATGATATAAAAAGTTTTTTCACAGAACTCTTTCAATAAAAAAACATAATACCATAAGTTAAAAATGATATATCATCAAAAAAACTATCTTGATCGAGCATGAATCTTTAGGCAAAATCAGTTGGAAGCTTCAAAAATTAAATCTGAGAACATCTGAACTATGATTTCAGCAAACTTACAGTCGAACTGAACATCTCGAAAATACAAACCCAATGACACCAAATTCAACCCAATCCAAGCTAAAATGAGTCAAAATGAAAGACCTGAAGCGCATTTGAAAGGTTCAATACTTCAATCCATAATTTGGATTACCAAATAGTTTCCAAACGTGACATGCTTATAGTTGAATCGAGCGGCTCGACGAGACGAATCCAACGAGCCCAAGATTGTCAAATTCTGATATCATTAAGACATTAAGGGAATCAACATCGGTTGTCTATTCAAACCACTCTCAATTGACATTCGATTTTTCTCCTATTTATCGGTCATGCCACTCTCAGAAAACTATAAATAGATCCCTCATTTTTCATAAGAGGGTGCTAAGTAAGAAAGAAAAGGTAGAAATAAAAATTTTAGCTCTAATTATGCATTTTTATTTATTAAATTATGAAGGAGTTCAATCTATTTGTCTTCTCCACTCTAATGATATTTTTCAATTTTCTATCTAAGTTTATTTTTAAATCAGGCATTTTTTTTTTGTATTTTATACCGATTTATTTTCTTTCTATGTTTTTTTTTTTTTTCCGCAGGGGACAATTTATGCCTAAAAGTTCTTCAAATTATCAATTATTGTGATTTTTTTAACCTTTAGAGTCAACAACAACAACAACAACAACAAAATAATTGTCAAAATTGTGGGAGAAATTAAAACTATTGCTCGAGGATCCTTAAAGGGCCTTAATGTCCTCTCAGGTTCTCCTCATTGTCCTAGAAGAACATGCATTAAAGAAATCTCAAGACGATCATTCCATCTCATATTCTCATTCAATGATTATGACATGAAGGGGATTCATACTCCACGATAAGATCCACTTATTATCAATGCTGACATTGGTGATCCTTGTTATAATGTTAAAAGAATTCTTATTGATAATGAAATTTCCGTTGATGTATTATTCTACCCTACATTTCTCAACTTGGGTTTGGTTAGTAAGCAGTTGGAGGATCATTATACGGATTTGATAAACGATCGGTAAAGGTTGAAAGAACAATCATGCTTCCAGCAATTTTAAGTGAATTCTCTCGACAAACAACACATATAATTTAGCTCATAGTAGTTAAATTTGAATAAGCATACAATGCTATATTTGAGAGACCCTTATAATTAATCTTTGGAGTTGTGTCGCTTCTAAAAATAAAATTTCTAAATCAATAAAAAATAAAATAAAATATAAAAAAAATGCCTTAATGAAGTTATATAATAAAATACATTTTAAAACAAAATATAAAACCATTTTCTCTCTCCCCCCTCTCATCTATCTCTCGCGACCACTCTCTATCCCTACTCATCTCTCTTCACATCACTCACTCTCTCTCTCTCTCTCTCTCTCTCTCTCTCTCTCTCTCTCCCCCCACCCCCATCTCTTTTTCTCTCTTTCAATGGAAAAATTATTAGGTGCAGGTCCGGATTTATTCCGAGACCAATAAAAATGTGCCACATCGCCCCACAAATTTATCACGTTTGGTTTGTGGTACTGAGCGCGGAACCAGAATGTTCTTCCGTCCAGTGTCCGCACATAATAATTGCTCCAGCTCCTCTCAATGCCATCTTTTGCGCCTTACAATTTTTTTTTAAAAAAAGGGCTGCACCAAAATATTTTGCGTAGTCTACATGGGCCAAACAGTTTGGGGCATTTAGTAGAATGCGTCATTTAATTTCACATAGTTACTCATATTTAAATTTTTATTAATCTATGCTCCTATTAATTATGAAGATTAATCCACTCCTTTATAAAATATGCTAATTATGAAGATTAATCTATTCCTTTATAAAATAGGACCTTTCTTTATTTATTGATATAATTATTTATGATAAAAAATTTTTTGCTCTAATATGCACTTCTATTTATTAATATTTTCTTTTGAAGAGTATGATGAATGAGTTCAATCTATTAGTCTTCTCCCCTCTGCCTCTAATTATATTTTCAATTTTCTATCTAAGTTAATATTTAAATCAGACCTTTTTGTATTTTATACCGATTTATTCTTTCAATATTTCCGAAATTCCCAAAAAAAATCAATATTTCCGAAAAAAAAAACATTCAGGTGCAGACTAGCTGGCATCACGTGAGAGCTGGTTTATCATAGCCACATGGACGACTCTTTTCCAGATCTCGTCTTCAACTGTACATCCAGCCGTCGATCATAAGCATCTAGCCATTCGTTTTTCGCCACGTGTGAATCTGATAAAATCAACGGCCCGATGTGCGCCATACACTCAGTTGTCCTTCTCACTAAAGAAAACCTACCAATTTGGTCTACGGACAAAAGGAGTTTCGCCAGCCTTAACGGAAGACGTCGCCACCACGCCATTCTCGATGGTCCCCCACAGATGAACTTTTATTAGGTCCAGTGTAAGGACGTAGAGGAAGGTTCGGTCGGAGTTAAAATCCCGCCAAAAAACTCGGTATTTACTCGGTATTTACTCGGTAATGCTATGTATTATTTGATAATAACGAGGAATACCGCTCTGTGAAGACTAATACCGAATTATACCGAGGTATACCGAGCAATACCGAGTTGTACCGAGTTTTAAACTCTAGGAAAAACTCGGTACAAGTTTTATATAACTCGGTATTGCTCGGTATAGCTCGGTATAACTCGGTATTGCGTTTTCACGTGATGGTATTCATCGTTATTATTTGGAATTGCTCAGTATTTACTCGATATTTCTCATTTTTTGGCGCGATTTGAAAGTGAAGACGTAATAATTGTTCCACAGATCGAGTCTCTACCGTCCAATCCGATCCTAGTACCGTCTCTGAGATATTTGGACAATCGATCAGACGCACTGGTGTTTGTAAGAAAATCAATGAATCTTCTTTTATATCTATTGGATTAGTTTCAAAAGTCGTGCAATTACCTTTTCATCTTTAGACGTGGGAAGCATACCCTCTCACGACCACGTAGTGCCACGTGTACACGACTCCATTTTGGTGTTTTGGATATTCGCGCAGTTGATGCTTTCTCTCGCTTGCATACGGCAAGGATCGGGGATCGACCAGCGTTGTAACTTTGTACCTTTAAATAGGGGGGAAGAAGCGGGAACGCAAGCTGAGCCCGATCACCGATTCAGTTCTTTTTCTCCGCTAACCTCGTCATCTAGGGTTTCTTACCCATCGACTGCTTGTAGATTCGAGGTTCGATCTTTTTTTTTCTCTTATTGTTGTTGTTGTTGTTCTTCTTCTTCTTCTTCTTCTTTTTGGTTCGTTCTCGTGGATCTAGCGTAGTTTCTAACATAGTTTCTATTCGTGAGGCCTTTTCTGGCGTTTTTGGTATAGTCTAAAGATCTCGCGCTTTATGGTTCATGTTAATGATTTGCGAGAATCTTTTTCGTGTAATTGGAGCTAGAGTTCATTCATTGTACTTATGCTTTAGCATTGAACAAACACATTAGGGATCTAGGATATACAACTGTCTCATTCTGCTTTGGAAGCTTTATTATTGTTTTTTTCTTATAGTTAAATCGATCTAGATTCCGTAGTTCTGGATGATGGTTCTGCATAATGGTTTTTTAAGTTTGCGCTTTGATTCCCCCTTTTTTTTGTAGTGGATTTGTTTTTTTTTTTTTTGGGGTAATTCGAATATCATTTGTATTAAATTGCATGTTAAACTGGCCATGTTCTATTTTAAATTCTCCGAGATTTCGCATTCCCTTCAAATCGTTTCTTTTGGAATGTGGATTGCCCATGTTTTAGAACATTCGAAATACAAACGATCTTTGAATGAGCAAATGATAGCAATGCTAGCCATTATTTCGATGGGCAATGTGGACTTCTTTTCCTTACAAGCCCCAGGGTAGTTGTATAGCTTATAAGCTAGAACTTGGGGACTAATCGTGTTTTTCTCTTTCTATATCCAACATCTTTTTCTACCCTTCACCTGCACTTTGTTGGTATTTTCCACTGTCAGCTGCTTATGTGGGTCGGGTTTCTACTTGAGGATGGACTAATTGTTATATTTAATTTGTAGCACCTTTATGACAAGGTGAATCAATAAATATCTTAACTCGTTGAATCTATTTTCTATGTTAATGGACATATGCAAGCATGCATATATGTATAACAAATGATAAGATGGGATGAGTTGGATTAACCTGACTCCAACTAGATTACAATGGTAAATAGGTTTCTCTTAGCTGGAAAAAAATCGTATCAATTCTAATATTGTAAGACATTTGTTCAAAATAAGAAAAAATTTGTTTGAAATTACGTGGCTTACAGATTTGATATATCTCTCGAAGAAACTCCTTATATTATACTGTGTTTTTTTTTTTTTTAACATCATGTGCTTTATATAGAATGTTTTCTTATTTTAAGCAATTTTCTTTCAATTCTGGTATAATTTATTATCTAGATATCCATATACAATTTTTTCTCACTTAGCCAAGCCCGATCTATCCTATGGCCAAAATTACTCTATAGGAACGTTTAGGATCAAACAAGTATGGAGGTAAAATCTATTCTTTATATAGTAGCTATCCTCCTATTACAAGCTAGAATTTCAACCTATAACCAATTGATCAATCGGTTAAAATCTGGCCTAGATGTTGTGAATCCACAACATCCAAAATTTTGTGAATCCACAAAATCAGACATTTACTTAGAAATTGATTAGTGAGTTGTTGTTGGTTAGTTTGTGATAGTCTTGTTTTCTACAAATACTCATAGTTAGGGAGGATGAGGTTATGACATGAATGAATAATTCCCTTGGCCCCCAATATGCTCTTCATTTATTACTTAATTTTTGGAATTTTGAGCAACTTGAAATGCTCAATAGCATATAGGATCTTATAAATGATTTTCTTGTTGATATATCATTGAAAGTACCCTATTCCATGTACAATTATTATGTTGATAAAACAAATCTATATCTTTCTCAATTCCATTGCATTGAAGAAGTGCTTTCCGTCATCCCTACGAGTCTTCAATCGCGATCACCAATTTCTTATTTTTGTATAGTTTGCATCATCCTTGCTTTTTTATATATTCATCTTTGGATTTCAAGAAACTTCCTTGTCCATGAAACCTTTTCTTTCATTACCTCACCATTTCTACATGCAAATGTCACTATTCAAATCTAATTTCTAATTGTTGTAGTGTCCAAGAGATCTTCTCTTTCGGACTTCCGATGCCACCCCAAATCAATCTTCTCCAAGTTTGTCTTCTTTAGTTACGATGCAAGTATGATTTGTCACCTCTTTATGCACTGATGCTTAATCTGGCTCGCAACTCCAAGCCTTTCCTTCACTATATATATTTTCTCCGGCTATAATTTACCGCTGCTTTGCTCCATCACTACTAGAAATCACTCATGGTCAGAGCTTGATCTAAAGACATTGTGCACTTTGTGGAACCCTACCAAGCTCGTTTTGAGCCTGCCTTTGCTCTCTTTCAAAACCCACTAACTGCTTCTTCGCATTTGACTAGATTCTGCGACAAACTCCCTTCTCCGTTCTCATATTCCTTGCAGATCCGTCTTTGAGATTCACCATTCGTTGTTGGATCTTCTACAATTCCCATTATGTCTTGTTGATATATTTTCTCATGCCAGTAAAACCCCTAATTTATTCTTCTAGCATCCCACTGGAAGGTCGTAGCAATTTCTTACGACTTTATATGTTGTCAAGTACACAATGACTCACTTGAGTAAGTGATGTAGAACGGGAAAACGGCTTTGCTAGGGACAAATCTCCTCTCCGAATTTTGAGAACACTTTCAGCTTTTGTTCCCCAAAACCTGAGAGAATTCAGATTTCCTCTTATTTGTCTTGCTTAGACCTCTTGAGATGAATGAAGGTGATGCTCTAGAGAATAATCGAAGAGAAGAAGTTTCTCTGATAATTTTGTTGGTGAGAGAGCCCAAAACCCAAACCTGAAATACGTTTCAGGTTTCTGTGAAAGAGGAGTTTGGAGAAAACAAAGAAAAAAAAGAACAAGACAAGGGGCAAGAGGGAGTTCGGCCAGCAGCAGAGAGGCTTGGACAATTCCTTCCAAAGTGAATTGCTACAATTGTGGAGAAATTTCCAATGGCCAGCAATAATGGGAAGGCAGGCGGCGTGATATTGAGGAGTTAGGAAAATTTTATTATTTCCTAAACCAAGGCTGTAATTTAGGAATAGATTTAGGAAATTGGCTTAGGTAAATTTCGGCCAGGGAGTTGGAATTAGAAATATTCCAATGAGTAAGGAAAAGGAAATAGGAGAGAAATCCCAATCCCAACTCAATGGAAGGAGGCCGGCATTATGGGTATCCAAGGGGAGCTATTAATGAGAGCAATTACAGCTTCCTAAGTTGGTTTAGATTTAGGAAAGATTTAATTCAAATCCTCTTGAATTTAAAGTTCAAAATTAGATCTGAATCAAATACTCTCCTACAATAGAAGAGCTAATTTAGGAAATATTTTGAATTCAAATTTGAATGAATTTGAATCACAAATTAATTCCAATTGATCCCAACCGAAATTAGGAAACAAAATAAGAGAAACAACGGGATGGGCCCGGCGGCTAAAGGGGCTAATTAAACTCGATTTGAATTTCATTGAATTTGAAATTCAAATTGAGTTAATTAAGAAACTTTCCTAAAATAGACTATTTAAATTAGGAAAGATTTTGAAAATTCGCAGTGATAAATTTTGAATTTCAAAACTTTCCCACATTCAATTTAATCTAAAATAGGAAATAAAATTGGATGGGGGAAAAGGAGGGGAGTGGTCGGCGGCTAGGAAGATGAGGGGGCCGGCGGTTGTGGTCTTTGCCGGTGGCCAATTGGGGACGGATGGAAGGTGGCCGAGGCTATGGAGAATTTTTAGTAGGCTTGGTGTATGGAGGAAGTTGGGGGAAATTTGGTGGAGTTGATGTGACGAGGACGAATGATGGAAGGTGGCGAGGGAAGACGAAAATACAAAGACGGTAAAGAAAACAAAAACCAAAGATAGAGGATAAAACGAAAGAGAGAAAACAAAAATCGAAGATAAAACGAAAGATAGAAGATAAGAACCGCGAGCCTCGGACTCTTCTGACGACTGACGGGTGATCCGATTGCCCTTCTCCAAGGGACTTCAAATCACGAGCCCGGACCCATCCTGTGGCTGGTGACAACTTCGATTCCTTCCCATAGGAATCTCACTCTCGTTCTCTCCCAAGAACAAAGAACACAAGTGTGGAAAACACAAAATTTTCATATACAATTAACCATCCTCTTACAATAGCTTAAGGCCCTATATATAGGCCATAACATGAGAAAATAAAAAATTACAAAAATGCCCCTTGTGCCATAACACTCAAATAAACTAACCTAGGGGTAAAACAGGAAATAACATAAAATAATAACTAAAATTCATAAAATAAATTTTAAATAACAATTTAGAGCCGTCGATTTATGACGCCTCCTGTGATAGATGCGTCAGATCTTCGTACCGATGTCCGCATCAGTAAGTGTGGCCGAATGGATGGTCATCATTTCCATTGAATTTTTCTGTATTATTTCTTAAACCTTGATGGCAAGGCCATTGTAAGTGGGTGAGTAATGTTGTGATGAGTAGTCTATAATATTAGACATTTTGTTAGAAGCTATTTAGCAGTAGTTAGTTTGAGACTTTGAGTTAACCTTGTATCCTATTAATACTTTTAGTTAGGTTGATGAGAATATAAAATAAATGAATAATTTTTCTGTCTTATCAATTCTTTTTTTCTTTTCTAATTTTTTTAGTGTTAAGCATCTCGAAATGCTCAAATAGATTCTTGGATAAAACATGTATTAAGCAAATCGCCATCTTTAAATTGCCTTATCCCTATTACTTGAACTTAATGTTCTTTCCTTCTTCCGTTTCAGTGTTCTTTCATAAAAGTACAGGCATGCATTCAAGTTTGATTACCGTTATGATTCAAATTTCGTAAAACTATGTAGTGAAATTGGTAGGAATTGAATGCGAAAAGCCTTGCAATAGATGGCAAGTTTTGTCGAGGTTTTTTACTTCTGGATCCACACTAAATATGAGAAATGCTTTCTAGACCAACTAATTGATAAAAAAAAGATATCTGCATCTAGTGGGATGGTAACAAGTGTATTATCGAGCACGCTGCCTTCCATTTTTCATCGTTGCATTAGGGTAGAGGATTTAGGTAGTAATAAAACTTTTATTATGATTAAATATTGTTTGCATTCTTTATAGTTATAGCAAGTCGTAATCATGAATATATTCCAAAAGGGTCTCTATTACCAACTATGCTCGATGCTTCATTTCAACGCAGAATTTTTCCATTTTTAAGCAGAGTAATTAGTATCACGTAAAAAAATGGCATCAAATTAGAAAATAAGAACTCAGCAAGTTTAAAACTAGTATTGCCTGGAAAGTAAATGTGGTTTAGTAGTTTGATCACAAGAAAAAAGACCTATATCTTTCAAGCAAAATAATTACTTAGGATTATTTCAATTTTTTGTGATGAAAGCACGCCAGCTGGCCTCAAGAAGTTGGGATGAAACTAATGAAGATATGATCTAGAGTGTTTTTGTGATGAAAATTCCTGACTCTTATATATGTGCAGCTGTATTCTGCATGAGCAAGAATCTAATTGATATTGTGGGCGTTCCTCAGAATCTCTTTGACCAATATTGTTTTTGTAAAACTTCAAGGCCCTCTTAAGCTGCATGCTTGGTTCATTTATTTTGTTACTTAACTTTATCTATGGCTTGCCGAAATTCTATTTCCAATTTGTGTTAATGAATCTGGAACCTCTGTTGTTTGGTTGACGGGATAACTAACAGCTGTTGTAATTCTTTTATTAGCCACTGTCAATGGATCCCATTAATGAATTACCAATTACTTCATCGAAGTCTCTTCACAACCATCCTCCACTAAATGAAAGGATACTGTCATCCCTGTCTAGAAGGTCTGTTGCTGCTCACCCCTGGCACGACCTTGAGATAGGTACTAATGTTTATTCTTCTTCTTTTTTCTTTTTCAATTGGTATAGTTTTTCCCTTCATTCAACACTTTGAATACTTGAATTATTTTTTAATCCACGATAATTCCCTCTTATGCAGGTCCTGGCGCTCCACAAATTTTTAATTGCGTAAGTCTGTGAGCCTCTGTGGACTCTGCATAAATCTGAATTTGATATTTCATTATTCCATCATCACTGTCTTGATCCAACTTCTGGATACAACTTTTTATATTGGAAGTATTTCACTTCTATTTAATTGCTAGTAAGGTTCCATGCTAATCTTTATCTGAGTCTTGCGCTTAGAAACTTACAGAGATGACCTTTGAAGGCTATCCGTCTTGGCTCTGAGTTAAAGAAGATATTTGCTGTTACTTTTGTTGGGAAATAAAAGTAGCTAAATACAAACACAAATAGGAAATTAAAATAAAATAAAAAGAAGATCATCTCTGTTATGTCACAAAAAATTTACTAAGGTTAACCCAATTGAATTTACTCAGGTTATCCCAATTGGTTGGTGGTTGTTGTAAATATCACTATTGATTGAAGGGCATAACAACTCTGATTTTTATAATGAGAAAATTTAAGTCAGGTGGAAAATTATATACAATTTTTAAAATGTTCTTAATGAAATAAATACCTTTTGACCTTACCTTAAGGTCAATCTACGCCAAGTCTGGGGAGAAGAATTTCCACAACTTGACAACTTCTAGTCCAAATGGGTTTCTAATTTATTATACATTGTGATGCTTTATTTTTTATTCAAAAAAATCCTGAGAAGTTTCTATGCGTCCTCATGTGTGCTTGTTGAATGATATATTTTACCTTTTGGATTTGTATCTATTTGTAATTTCCTTGCTCAGGATCATTCAACCTTAATTTTCTAATTTCTGCAGGTTGTGGAGATTGGAAAAGGGAGTAAGGTGAAGTATGAACTCGACAAAAGGACTGGGCTGATAAAGGTAAACCAGGAAGTCCTCTAAAATAGTCAACTCCCTTCACTCAAAAATAAGAAAATAAAGTTGAAAAGAAAAAGGAATTGTGCCTCCTCTTGTGCAGGTAGATCGTGTTCTTTACTCATCGGTGGTGTACCCCCACAACTATGGTTTCATTCCACGAACGCTCTGTGAAGACAATGACCCTCTGGATGTTCTGGTTCTCATGCAGGTATGCTATTAGGAAAATGTATTTTTCATTTGTATAATATATGTTGAAATTATCCTATGCTTACAAGGATTCTTCATGTGGATTATTCCTGATTCTTCTTTGAACAGGAGCCAATCCTCCCAGGATGTTTCCTTCGTGCAAAAGCCATAGGCCTCATGCCTATGATTGATCAGGTTTTATTTTATTTTTTCTCATATGCAAATCAAACTTATATCATCTTGATTCTAAAATTTTGCCGTGATTGGTAAAGCTGCTGATTTGGTATATGCGTTGTTCAAAAACAGGGAGAAAAGGATGATAAAATAATTGCTGTTTGTGCCGATGATCCTGAATATAGACATTATACAGACATCAAGGAGCTCCCACCTCATCGCTTGGCTGAAATCAGGCGCTTCTTCGAAGATTGTATCCTCAAAATTTAGCTAATTTGCATATACTATGTTTTCTTTGCTATTCCTCGTCTTTCATATTTATAGTATATTTGAAATTTTTAGCTTAGCAAGTAGTAGTAATAATGGCTCTTCACTTGTAATGAATATTTACAGATATATAAACAGACTGGATCTAAACCTTTGCTGTTAATAATGGTGATTGATATCACTCTGATTAGTTTGATGTATCTCCGTACATTAAGTAGTATGTGAATTTTATTCTTCATGTACGATTACTTATTCTTTTCTAGTCTCTAACATGAGTACTTCCTTGACCCTAATCAATCAGACAAGAAAAATGAAAACAAAGAGGTTGCTGTGAATGACTTCCTGTCTGCCACCTCCGCTTATGACGCGATACAGCACTCCATGTATGATATTTCTTTCAGTCTATACTCTAATTTTTCATACGTTGACTATTTAATAATATTTGCATGGGGTCTATATATATATATATAGTGAGAGCTCTGCTAGGGTTTTTTCTCCCTAGCCTTCCTTCCCGCCACCCTCTTCTTCGGTTCTTCCCGCCGCCGTGTGGGGAGGGGTTTTCTCCCCTCCCCTCTCTTCCCTTTCCCATGGATTCCTCCTTTCATGAGAATTTTCCTCCTTTGCCAGGAGCGGCTCGCGCTCCTTTGCAGGTTTTCCCTAATCCTGCGGGGTTAAACTTCGCCTCCAACTTAACCAAGGATGATCCTGTCGCTGGGAACTTCAACCTCTCCTTTGTCCCTCCTGTGAGTAAGATCCCTTTTTCTGCTGCTGAACTTGCTGTGGGAGTTCCCGACTGGAGCTCCTCTCTTGTTGGGTACTCCATAGGACCGCGTCCGACTTACCTTAGTCTTCTCAATGCTGTGAAGAAGGCATGGAATCCTAAGGGAACTGTGGAGCTTTTGTCTCTAAACGACGGGTTCTTTCTTTTCAAGTTCTCCTCACCTGAAGACTACCAGGTGGCTTGGTCGGGGGGTCCCTGGTTCTTTTTTGGCCGGCCTTTCATCCTTCAGAAATGGACAACCAAGTTCAAACCGATACGAGATGAGTTCTCTTCCATTCCTCTGTGGATTAAAATTGTTGATTTGCCTCTAGTTGTTTGGAATCCTGCTGGGATTTCTAAAATTGCTAGTTTTGTTGGACATCCTTTGGCTGTAGACGCCCTTACTGCAAGGAAAACCCGTCTTACTTTTGCTAGAGTGTGTGTTCTGGTCTCTAACACTTCCACTCTTCCGGACGAGATCCCTATTTCGCTGGATGGGGACGATGTTAATCTGAAAGTGCTTTACGATTGGAAGCCGTCATCTTGTTCTGGCTGTGGATCGATTGTCCACCCTTCCTCCCTTTGCCACATTAACCCTCAACCCAAAGTTATTCAGACTCGCGGAAGGAGCTCTTCTCGAGCTCGGCCCTCCAGGCCTCCTCCTCCGGTTAGTAGACCTCCTCTACCGCAACCACCCCCTCCTTCTACTACACCTGCCAACCCGGTTAGCACCAACACCATTAACCCACCTCTCATTCCCCAGATTCCCCAGATTCCCCCTCCCCCTGCTTCTGAACCGAATCTACCTCTAAATCCTCCTTCGCTACCTGGGACGCAGCTTCTTCCCTCTGCTCCTCCTGGGTCGCAGCCCTTGATTAATATCCCGAACCTGAACTCCCCTACTGAGGAAGTTTCCTCCTCTGACAATTGCCCCTTTGTCACCAACATAGCCTCTTCTTCGGCTTTCGTCCCCCAATACCCTCCTTCTCCTGGACCGTCTGCATTACCTGCTAACCCTCCGGTTTCTTCTCCTAACCGGTTTGCTATACTGCAGCCAGAAAATGAAGCAGATCCTTCGGATGAAGACCCACCCACACCCACCACCCAACAACCCAACCAGCCTGATTCCACCTCTAATTCCAAGTCTGGAAATAACCCTCCTAAACAGCCCAAAGTGCAAAATGCCCCCAAAGGAAAGAATGCTAAGAAGACTAGGTCTTCTAATTCTTCTCGCAAATGACCCACTGCCCTTTTGGTTGCTGGAACGTCCGGGGATTTAACTCCCCCGATAGAGTTCTGGCTTGCAAACAAATGGTCGTTAAGCATCATCTTGACCTGTTCTGTATCTTGGAAGCAAAGGTTCCTCTGGACTCTGTATCTGATCCTTGGTTCTTAAATTCGCATAGAATTTTTGATGAAGAAGCTAGCTGTCATAACTTTGGATGCTCTTCCCCGGGAAGGATTTGGATAAAATGGAACTCCAAAAATATATCCTTCTCCCCGATTCTTACCACGTCCCAGCTCATTCATGGGACTGCCATTTCTACTTCTATGCCTAATGTCATGATTTCTGTGATTTATGCCGCTAACTCTCCCTCTGAGAGAACCTCTCTGTGGCAAAACTTACTTCAAATTGCCTCCACCATTTCTTCCCCATGGATCATCCTGGGGGATTTTAACTGTTGCCGGTTCATTGAGGAGAAGTCTGGTGGGATTCCTCTGCATCACAGTCGTTTGCAGGAGATGAATTCTTGGATTTTCAGTGCTGGGGTGTTAGATCTTCCTTCCACTGGTCTGTTTTTCACGTGGAACAATCACAGGGCTGAGGACCCCATTCATATTAAACTGGATCGTGCTATGGTTAACACAACATGGTTGGACTGTTTCCCTAACTCTTTTTATAAGGTGCTTGCACCTTCTTGCTCGGATCACTCTCCTTTGCTGATCCTTCCGGGGTCCTCTCCCAACGTGCTTGCTCGGTTTCAATTTAAGAACTTTATGCTCAATCTGGATGATTTTTGGGACGGTCTGATTACTGTCTTTGCCTCTCAGAATTCTGGCAGCCCGATTTCGGCTCTCTACTCCAAACTCCATTCTCTCAAGGATCTCATCAAGAGAAAAAATTGGTCTAATTCCTCTTTTATATCCAATAAAATTAATGAGATTTCAGCTGCTCAATCACAATGCTTGGCTCAACTCCAGCTCTCCCCCCTTGACCATAACCTTAATGTAACCCTTCATAACATTAATGCTGCTATTGACCGGCTTCATAAGGCCTGGAGTTCCTGGGTGATTCAAAGGGCTAAAGCAAACTGGCTTACTAGGGGTGAAGATGATTTGGGGTTTCTTTTTGCTAGAATCAAATCCAGAAAAGCTTATTGCCAGATTAAGGAACTTATCACTGAGGAGGGGCATTTTCACTCCACTGAAACTATTGCCAGGGCGGCGGTTAATTTTTTTCAAAAATTATATAACACCCCCACTTCCCCCTCCCATGGGGCATGCCCTCTTCCAATTGGATCTTCTATCCCTGCCCATATGGTTGCCCCTCTCATTTTCCCGGTGTTTGACATTGAAATTTATAATGTGGTGTTAGCTGGTTCTTCCTCTAAGGCTCCGGGGCCGGATGGTTTCACTTTTGAATTTTATAAAGAGGCTTGGCACATTATTGGGGGTCACGTTTGTCGGGCTATTAAACATTTCTTCTCCACTGGTTCTCTTCCTAGGGGTGCTAAGGCTACTGCTATTGCCTTAATTCCTAAGGGCTCCCATGCTTCTAACATATTGGACTATAGACCTATCTCTCTTTGCAACGTGTTTTATAAAATTATAGCAAAGATTCTCTCTAATAGGATGAAAGAGGTTATGCCTCATATTATACACAATAGCCAGACTGGCTTCATTAAGCAAAGAATGTCTACGGATAACATTGTGCTAGCCTCTGAAATTCTTTGTGAGTTTAACAGTAAACAAGGGGAGAAATATTTTTGTGCTAAGCTGGACATTAGGAAAGCCTTTGACACAGTTTCCCGGAATTTCCTCCTCCAAAGACTTTCTGATAAAGGCTTTCCCCCGTTATTTGTTAGCTGGATTAAGGGGTGTATTGAAGATGTTTACTTTTCTGTGGCTATCAATGGGGGACTTGAAGGTTTTTTTCCCTCTTCCTCGGGCTTAAGGCAAGGATGCCCTTTATCTCCTTTGCTCTTCTCTGTGGTGATGGATGCTTTCTCATGTGGACTTAATGATAGCAATTTTTATGGGATCACTTGTGATGGTTTTACGGTTAACCATCTTCTTTATGCTGATGACATTCTTGTCTTTGGGAAGGCCTCTCTCCTTAATGCCAGCACTCTTCATAATGCCTTAACTTCTTTTGGTTTGCATTCTGGCCTGATGGTTAATAATGCTAAATGCTCTATTTTGTTCTCTAATAATAACCCTCAAGCGAATGAGATCATCCATCTACTGGGGTTTACCCATACTGAGAGCATCCTTACTTACCTTGGAATTCCCATCTCTCCAAAAAAGCTTAAAACTACTCACTTCCAACCACTACTGAGTAGGCTATCTACTCTACTTGATGGTTGGAAAGTCAAATTCTTGTCTTTTGCAGGTAGAATTCAGTTTCTCAAATTTACTATTACAAATACTGTGGCTTATTGGATAAGGGGGACGGTTCTGCCTAAAGGGGTTTGCAAAAATATTGAAAAAATGTGTGCCAAGTTCCTTTTTCATGGTACACACTCGGGCAAGAAACTTCATCTCATTGCTTGGCATCAAACTTGCCTACCCAAGAGGCTGGGAGGGCTCGGCCTGTCCTCTATTGCTTCCCTTTCTTTTGCGTTTGGTTGCACTTTTATTTGGAGGTTCTATAATTCTAATAGTTTGGCAACTGGTTGGTTTAAGCACAAATTTTTGTCTCCCTGGAAGCCCTTTGGTACCAAAGTTTCAAAATTTTGGAAGGTGATTTCTATGACTGCTCATAGGATTAAGGAAAAATTGAATTTTCATGTGGTTGCAGAAAACTGTAATTTTTCTGCACTTTGGGATCCTTGGTGCCAGGGCACTTCTATGACTGATTTGGTTCAACCGGAATTTTTCAGTGGGTGGTTGTGTGATTTTATTGTTAATGGTAGTTGGTCTGTGCCTCCTCAGCTGGGCCTGGAGGCTAACAGACGTATTTCTAATATTCCCATTCTTCCACAGTCGCACCCCCTTCTTTCTTGGAATCCTACTGGGAACCCAACCTTCAACACTTTCTATAAGTATTTTTTTGATAATTTTGAAGATGTTCCCTGGTACAAATATATTTGGCATTCTCATTATGCTTTACGTTTTTCGGCTTATACGTGGATGGCTTTGCTGGATGGGCTTAAAACAGCTGATGTTTTAGCTAAAAGAAACATTTTAATCCCTACTACTTGCTCTTTCTGTAGGAGGGAGGATGAATCGGTTTCTCACTGTTTCTTTCAGTGTGATTATTCTTTTGCTGTCATCTCTACTCTTATACCTGCATTGCGCTCCTTTCTGCTTCATCCCACGTTGCTACAGGTTTTTGAATTTTTTGATGGGATTCACAATCTGAGGAGTTTTGAGAAGAATTTCTGTTATTTTGTTATATGTTGCTCTCTGTATCACCTGTGGAGAGAACGAAATGAGAGAAGATATGGGAATGATGAGAATGACGTTGCTGCCTCTGTTAAGAAAATCTCTCATGCCATTGCTGCTAAAACTGAATCCTGGAAGCATATTGATCGGATTAAGCAGATGTTCTCTTTCTGCTTTATGGACCACTGATGTTATGATGCCTTCCAGGTTTTTTTATCGGATGGGTTTTTTGGTGGAGAATTCTGTTCTCCATAACCGGACGATGATGAGTAGAACTAGCAATCTTCGTGATGATGGTCTCTTCCCTTGGATGGCCTGCTGGGAGCTTCGGTTCTTCTTGTTAGCTGATTTTCTTTTGACTGATATGGATGCTGGGAGATTGTTATTTTTTGGGTTGCTTCCCAGTTTTTCGGCCCTGTGGTTTCTCTATTTTGAACCCGGATGCTTCTTTTGGGCAACCAGGGAGGAGTGGTTTTTCGGGTTGCCTGTTTTGATAAGCACTTGTTGCTTTTTTCTGTTAGTTCTGTATACCTGAGTCCGGTTTAATTTTTGGTCTCTTCTCTTTTTGTTAGTTGTATTTGAGGGTCTTTTTTATGCCCTCCTTTTCTTCCCCACTGGTTGGGATGTTGTTCTTTTTGTAATGCTTTAGTTATTAATATACGGGCTACGGCCCCAAAATTCCCCAAAAAAAACTAACACAATGATTGGGAGCTGAGGGAAGAAAGGAACGGCTCTGAGGAGAGGAGATAAATTATGGGGGAAATACATACCACTTTATATTACTCTATTTACATATTTAACACCTAAAACTTTAATATTACATATATACCACCTTATATTATTTTAATATCAAATATGTCACCCATATTTCATTCCCGCCACCTATATATTTGATTCCTACCACCCATATTTGATATGAAAATGAACTATGGGTGGTATGAATGTAATATTAAAATTTTAGGTGTTAGATATGTAAATAGAGTAGTATATAGTGGTATGTATGCAAATCTCCCATAAATTATTTAGGTTCATTTTTCATGATTGCGAGTTGTAATAGAGAAAAGAAAATGATTCTTTCTTCTCTTGATTGAGAGTTGAAATACGAGTACGCATGTGCTTAGATTTTTGTTGTTATGGTTAAGGAACGTAAAAGTATTTGGTGTGGTATTATAGCATGAGAAAATATTTTGGTGTAGAGGATACAAAGTGATTAAATCTCCTTTCTCATACACTTAAGCTTTAAAAAAATTGACAAGTGTATCAGGCCCAACTTTGGCTTCCCTTTAATCAACATTCCTTAACAAATGGCATCAAAGCAAAAGGTCTGCTAGGATCATGTGGTTCATGCATTTTGTGACTCCATTGGGTTTTTTGTGTCTTTTATTATGGTTGAATGATGTTTAATGACAGATGATTCTCATGACAGCTCCATATGATTTAATGAGATTTGGTTGTACACTCGATGATATTAAAAAGATCATCATTTGAGGGGTAATGAGTTTTTTTCCCATATTTCAATGGCAATTAGCAGGCAACTGTTCTACTTAGGGTTACAGGAGGTTACAGACTCTGAAATAAAAGGCCTGATAAAATTGGGGATGTTTGTAGCGATTGCATACTATATCATTTATAGAAATATATCTTTTTTGAGCAATCTCTGGCCTGGGATTTACCTTTTCGTTTTACAGTTTTACTACACAAAAGGGTTCTCTTGTTTATGTTTCTCCTCATTTCTATCAATTTTTGGACGAGCATTTTTTTCTCTCCATCCCCTTTGGATTTGGGGATTTTAAGATTAGAGGTGTCAATATTTACTCCAACTAGAAATTGACTCAAATCCGATCCGAAGTTTTTTGTGTTCAAGTCAATTTGTTTATAATACAAGTTGGGATTGAGATTTCAACACATTTATCAAATAGGGTTGGGTTCGGATTGATCAGAAAATCTTAAATGACTTGGATTTGCACACATGCTTGAGATTCATGAACGCTTGCAGCCCTCTCGCTCTCCGCATTGCATGTGCACAGGTTGTGCTCGCATCCACACCCAAACGGCCAGGCCCGCATTGCGCTCGTATTGCGCTCGCCGCTTCCACGCACCATGCTCGCCCAACTCTCACGCGTGCACGCCCGGACTTGCTCGCCACATCCTAGTTGTTTGGACCCATATAACCCAGCGAGTTCAGTGAAGGTCAGACCGTTTAGACTCGGGTCAATTCCGGGTTCTACCGAAATACCCATCTTGACACCCCTATTTAAGATTGTCTAACAAATTTTTTTTTTTTTTATCATTTGGGTAAGTTTTCAAAATTTTATTTTGTTATTTGAATGAAGATGAATTATTTAAGGTGATCTGTAAGATTGGGGTTTGTTTAGCTATTGATAATCTTATTGCCTCAAATCTTGGTTTAGCTTCACCAAACGTATGTGTTCATGTATCTTTTTCATTTCCTATACCAAGGTTTAAAATTGCGCAATTGGGTATTAAGTCGTTTTTTGTTTGTGAGGCGATTCGTAAGTCTCAATGTGTTTTGAGGTGTAAGTTTCAAAATCTTAAAATTGCGTGAAGTCAAAATAAAAGTTAAAGGTGATTTTTTATATAATATTCAAATAGTATGTTAAAAGATGACATCTTAACTTTCTATTGAAATATGAAGTAATAAATTTACATGCATATGAAACTAAAAATTGTATAAGATGTAAAATGTTAAATGAAAAATGATGTGAAATAGAATTGAAATCCAAATATTACTCGAGCAAAATAATATAAAATATATAAATTACATAAAATTATCATATAATATCAAGTTTAGCTCTTATGGCGGTCGAGGCGAGGCGTGCACTAAAGTGGGTCCATCCAAGATCGAGGCGTAAGTCTCATAAAAAAAGCTAGAGGCATAAATCTCGATGCATTTTTTAGTGGAATTGCGCTATGGTGGGCCTCAAGGCGAGGCTCATATTGTGTAATTTTAAACAATGTCCTATACTCAATTTTATTCTTGGTTAATGACACTAAGATGCTCAGGAGATCATGATTGAGAGCAAAACTTTTAGCACATTTGCCCATGATGGAGTCAGTCATGTTGTTTCTCTCGGCTGCAGGCCTTTCATACTTCAAAATTTCAACCTTCTTGATAAAGGATAAGTTGACGCAGAAGATGGTTTTTTTATGCTTGATGCTCAAAATGCTATTTACTGAAATTTTGGATCTGTTACGGTTTGTGGTTCATGTTGTTAGCTGCCAATTTTTATGATGGGTTCTTTTTTCTTTATTGAAATTTTGGATATGTTGCTTACTTGCTTGCCTTTTTTAGCTTCATTTTGACGGTTTGTCTGCTCACGAAAGAATATTTTGAAGTTTTATGGTTGGAACATTTTCTTGACTCGGTGCTTCTACTCATGGTGTTGGTTGATGAAGTTTGCACCCAGCGTAAAACATTTCTGGAAGGTTTTCACTTCGCTGTCCCATTGGTTGAGGTCCTTCTGTCTGGTGCAAAAGTCTTGATTTTAATTTCGGTAGGCCTTGATTTTAATATCAGGAAAGCTAATTTCATCATTATGATTAAATCCCACCTCCAACTTTTCATCTCCAATCAAATATTCCTTGCATGCGTTGCTCCTGATATGCACTCCAGACTTGCATCACGATGTGATGAAGTTGACAGCAAAAATTTAAAACCAAATAAAAAAAGAAAAAGAAAAAGTTTGTGAACCGAAAAAGAAAGGGGGAGAGAAGCATATACTGAGTAGATTCATCCCCACCTCATGGGTGCGAACTATGTCCCACAGGCAGCAAAAACTTCTATTCCCTTTCTTCTATGTCTATAAAACTTGGATCCACTTGTTCAATAAGATGCCTTCTCCTTCCTCCCACATGTAGAAAAGCTTCCCAGCTTGGCTTCATGGCAATAGCCATGGCCTGTTGCAGGCCTTCGCTGCAGTACAGGTGAGGAATAAAAAGCTGAAGCTGTGCTGCTATTATGCAGCAGGGCAACTTAGAAACTTTGGCAAACGGAATGTGATTTTTCAACAGCTTAATGTCCTTTCTTGATCAGTCACTGTTTCAGTTTGTATATCACACCAAAACAGAATTTGCTGTTGCGGCGGTGATGAACCAGCTGACATGTTATCTTCTTTGAATAATAAGAAACAAGGCAAGGCTCTTGTTTGTTGTCAGTTTGCTAAGTCATACCATCTTTGAGCACTTCAGCTAGCTTTTAATATTATGCATGAGATTGGAAGTAAAACTTCAATTTATATTGTTGATGTGTTGTTGTTATAAGCGTTTTTCATTAAAACTGTAATAAATATGAATTTGATTGCCATTGGAAAGACATACAGTCAAATAGAATAACAACTTATTTGCAGTGTCAAAGAGAATGAAGGATTGTATCAAAAGTAAATTTAAATTATATATGATAAGCATAAAGCATTGATCCAGGATTTTATCTCTTTATATTGTCTATGCAGGTGTTTGCAAAAATTTTTATAAAAGAAACAACTTTATATAATAAAAGCGTGGTAGCTTTACGAAATTATTCTTCAACTTTTACACAACAACAATAACATCAACATAAATCCTTTGTCCCACTACATGGGGTTGGCTATATGGATTCTTTTTCTCCATTGTGTATTGTTAAAACTCAAATTTTCGTTTAAATCTAATAAAGAAATAAAATTTCTAATATTTTTTAACAAAGTATTTTTAGGTCAATCTCTACCTTTCTTAACATAAGTCAAATTTAATACGTCTACTATCCTAACCGGGTCATCGGAAAGCCGTCGTTTAATGTGACCAAATCATCTAGGGCGATACTCTCTAATCTTATCTTCCACTCGAGCTACTCCAACCTTTTCACGTATATGCTCATTTCACACAAAATATATATATATATATATACCCTCATAATAGGTTATCAATTTGTATAAAAAATACAGCCCTGCAAAAAGTTTAGCCGAAGACAAAAGAAGCCAAATGGACTTGAAATTTATGAGCAAAGGCAAGTCACGCTTCAACTGTCAGCTAACATTTGAGAATAAATGCCCAATGTTTCTGATACTAAATTGTATGCAAGAAAACACAAGAAAAAGAAATTCAAAATCAAACAGGTTTACTTGGGTGGTAAAGTTTGAGGATTACCAGCAATGATAGAAATTAAAAAAAAAAAATCCAAAATAGCTAGAATTCTTGTAATCAACTGGCAACTCAGCTTGATATTTATTTCAAACAAATTTAGTAAAAGAAGCCAAGCACTTTTCCACCAACATTCTTCCTCCTCGCTTCCTCGTGGTCCATGATACCAGCAGAAGTAGTCAAGACTATGTAACCAAACTGCCATTTTTTTTTATCACAACACATAATTTCATCAGCACTATCGAAATAGATACATATATAGGTTTATCACCAAAGAAGCTAACCTACCTGTCTTGAGGGAAGCAATCTAGCAGTCCAGGGTTCAATATCCTTGACACCAACATCAAATCGAGGACTAATAACCCCACATTTGTTCAATCTACCATTCAGTTCAACCACAATTTTCCCAGATCTGTGATCATCTACATATTCAAACTCACCAATGTATCCTGCAAGTAAATGGAAGCAGGTTAGGTAGTAAAGTACCGGCACGCAGAGTACCATAACCATGTCAATGACATGGAACTAACCATGCTTCTGCATGACCAAGAGGAACTTGATGATCACTTTTGATGATGGTCTGATCTTAACCTGTCGCTTCCCACGTTTCTCAGCATTATACATGCTCTTCAGAGCATCATTCAAAACACTTACTCTCACCATGCTTTAAAAACCTGAAAACGACATAACAATCAAGCGATCTCTAAACAACACTGTATAAATCTCAACGAGAGATTTTATACAAGTTACAATATTGATCATTACAATGTTACAACATAAAAAAAATACATAAAATTTATAAACTTTTTAAACTTTCTTCTTCAAATTGCAACAAGGTTGAGAACAAATATTGCAACACTGAGTCATATCATCACCATTATCTTTTGCTTTGTCAAGTTTAACTGGGGTCAGTTTTTATAAATCGTAAATAAAAATAATATTTAATGTTTTTAATAAGAAATAAGACGGGTATACAACTAATTATCTGTGGCCATGTAAAGACATGGTCATAACATCGTAGCAATGAAAATATAGCTAATAATGTGAATTTAGTAATCACACTATGGACAACGTATAAGCACAGATACACACGAAAAGCTTGTTAGAGGAAAAAGAGGCGCACTAGTTTCTTAGAAAAATGCACTGCATCACGGAACAACCATCTAGAGTTGAATCTAAAATTCATAACGCCAGAATCTATCACGATCAATCTCCAAAAGAGCATCACTTATATTAAAACTGGACCAATCTGCAAAAATACTAACATCTGTTAACTTGTTGTCAACAGCAAGCCGCTCCGTTCTCTTTAAAATAGAATAATCACTTTTAATGTATCTTATAATACAATCAAATAATATCCTTGAATCTTACACAAAGTTTGCTTTTATCATGATTAGAATTAGATCTCATCTCAGTAGATCTCACCCTAACCATCCATCCCTATACAAGATTATCATCCCATGTATTCTCAAGTTTAGCAATCACATCTTTAAAGTGAATTATTGACGTCCTCTAACATGATGACATCTCAACCATACAACATAAAGTCACAAAAAACATTTTCAAGAATGAGATAAATAGCATAGTAGCAAAAAAGCTTAATGTTCATCAATGACCACATCAATATTCCACTAATAATGAAAATAAGTTAATTCATATGTGAGTTCATAAGTATAACCTTTTTTAACATTTACATATGTAAACCTTACAAAATGTAATTCAAATAGAATCTCTGCAAGTAATAGAATTTGTTGGAGAGGATTTTGATCATACATAAAGACTCCGGTTTGAGACACAAGACCTTCACAGTTGTTTCTTCCAAGACCTTCATCAAGCCACATCAACCAAAATACAACAGAATCACCAAGTGAAAATTTACATCAATTTCTATTTTCTTCTTCACTTATTTTTCCTACATATTGGTACACCCATGACTGCCTCAACAAGTCCTTGATGGACTAGAACACTATGCAACTTAATTCCCCAAAGTGCAAAACTCTATAAACCATCAAGCTTCTTGAACCAAACTTCATAACTATCATATTACTAGTTAACCTTACTCTAATACCACTTGCTTGAACAAAAAATTTTTTTTTTTTTAATGTATCAACTACAGAGCAAATATGATGAACCACAAAACAATTAGAAAAAAAAATCAATCACACAAAAGAACATCAAGATTTGTGTGATTCAGTTTAGAAAAGCTAGCATCTATACTAAAATGGAGTATATAAAATAATTGGCCTTAATATCTTCTTGTATGCCCTAAGAAAACAATTTACAAATCACCAGTATATATATAGATATATATATAATTCATCTTCCTATGTTACCACAAGGTACACAGCATCTACATCTTGGATGTGAACTAGATGTTAAAGGTCCTCGTCAACTGTCGAAGCAAACATATATTAGCATCCTTTTATCAATGGAAACAACTTATCTGAGATTTAGTCAAATTTGGTAACCAACTCATTGTGATTTAGCTAACAAATTTGTTTTAGATATAAACAATAATTTATCTCATCTTTTACTCCCAAACAAGCTTCATAAAATCATGATGAGGAAGTTAACTCAAGAAATCAAAATAATAATAGTAATCCCCACCAATATGCTGCTAAATTCTTGAGGTATTATAATTGATTGAACGGGATGGTGCGACTTGTTTAAAAATTAGCAATAAAGTATGCTATAAGCACTCACAACATTTTCGATAAGATGCAGATACTAGGTTCTCACCCTATTTAGTAGAATGAGGAATGGCATTTATTGCAATGATTGGTCCCAAACTAATTTAATTATAAGGACCAAAATCCACATTCAAAAGGGTAGAGAAGGATTAGATGGGTTTAGGAATTAGACAAAATGCTTTTATTTAAAAATAAATAAAAGTTAAATTCAGGCTTCATTTTCTCATTTTAGAATATTTTTTCCTCTTTGATTTAAACTTTGAATTGTTCTAGTTGTCTTCTCATTTCAGGTTTTACCTTGTTCTTGTTGTGGACTAAGTTCCTTCTATGACTTTCTTTTTTGCTAAACAGCATGCCAATTTTTATTTTCTGCAGTTGTAAGTTGTAAGAAATAGTTAGGACTTCTCTTCCATGCTATTTTGCACAATATATCATTGCTTTCTATAACTAGTTTGTTGTCTTACATCAAATAAGAAACATAATCCTTTACAAGTTCTAGCTGAGTATTCAGCATCAACAAAATAAAGCAACAACCGAAAATTTTAACAATCAACAGCTATGCCACAATGATGAGCATTGTACCTACAATATCGTAGCACCTGCAACAGTTGGTTATAGTTCCAAGTCATTCGTTGTACTCTAGCACTAGAGATCTTTGATTGGAAGAATTAGAGACATTAGGTTATTTTGTAGAGTTCTTGATTGAATTTACTCAAAATTCAGGACTTTAAATAAGCAATTACATAAGGGATAAGATCTAATATACTCCTTAAAAAAAAAAGAGAAAACATTATCTATAAATATCAAATTAGCCATTGTATGGAGCATTGTAACTACAATGCCGAAACACCTGCAACTGTTTGCTATAGTACCAAGTCATTCGTTGTACCCTGAAACTAGAACCTTTGATTGGAAAAATTAGAGACAATAGGTTATTTTGTAGAGTTATTGATTGAATTTACACAAAATTCAGGCCTTTATAAAGCCATTAACATAAAGGATAAATATCTAATCCGATCCTAAAAAACTCCAAAAATAAGAGAAAACATTATCTATAAGTATGTAATTAGACAAATTTAAAGTAGGAGATAATTACACAAAAAATGTCATAGATTGAAACTAAATACTAATGCAAGCTTATCCAAAACAAGTTTATAAATTACGAATTCATCCTTATCTTATTATAACTTGGGTTTTTATCCAATGATATAATTTCCAAAGCCTTGATCTCCCTCATATAATGCCCATTCACAATTTAATCACATCTACAGACTCCTGGTTATGTTATCTATGATCTCACTGTTATAATCCAAGAATCACCATTCTCAATGGTTTCAACAAAAAAATAACAAAAATTAGAATCACTTATCCCGATCTCTTGACACCTCCACAATTTTATGAACAAATTGTGAGGGTAGGTCTTGTGAACTTCTTAGTGTATCATTGAGTTGACCATTCCAATCTCCATATCAAGCAATCAAAACCTAGACGGGGTTTATAGGTCTAATTTGGATATATTTTCCTAAGTGTTAAATTTTAATGTTCAATGGATAAAAAGAAATCAAGAACAAATTGCAATAATATAAAGGATTTCCATTTTGCATGTACTTGCAAGGGGCGTGAAAGTTGCAACCATGTGGCAACAAATGAAACTTTTATTAAGAGGATAATGATTCAAATGCCAAAAAATAATAATAATAATAATAATTTTTCCATCGCAAATGACTAAGCGTATATCTGATTTGAAAAACCTTGCAACCTTTAAAAATGTTAAAATAACAAGAAAAAAATAATTAAAATTCATGACAACTTAATTCATTCTAAAGTAGAAAACGCTATAAATCATTCCCTGGACAGGATTCAGTGAGATCGAATAAGAAGATGAAAGCCTGTATAGCTGTATTGTGATGCTGTTGTCTTGGAAAACGTGGGAACGAGTATGAAAATAGTTTTTTTCTTCTCGAAGAAGAAAGATAAAAGCAGCGTTAAATATGAAACAAACAGATCGATACAGACTCGTGGCACGAAATTGAAGCGGAAGAATAGAGGATCACCTGCGACTCGATGGGAGGAGAACAGTAGGTTCGGTGAAATGCGGCGATGCAAAAACCCTAACAAGAAACGAGGTCGCAGGTGATGATAAATTGATAATAACCCAAAACTAATTCACACTTAAATGAGTTAATTATGCTTAACTTATAATTATCGTTATATATATCTCTTTCATGTTTGCTTCATTCTAGTGTGTCAAAATATGGATTTGGGTCGAATTCGGAATTGATTTGGGTTCCATTTAGGTGATCCGAATCATACCATATTTTATAAATGGGTAAAAAAATTCATACTCTGATCCGACCTACTGGATTACTGGGTTGACCTAACCAAATCCCATGTTAACCTAACCCAATCAGAACAAAAATGCTATAACGAGCTTGGGCGCTGACATGAGTGCAAAGGGGGCGTGGCGAGTGCTGGGGAGGGCAAGGTGCTAATGCAGTGTGGACGGGAGCGCTAGAGAGTGAACCCGACATGCGCTGGAGCCGGCATGAGAGTGTTACAGCGCGGGAGGGTTGCAGGCGGTCGCGACGGCTAGATCCGGGTCAATTCAGGTCACCTTCGGGTTTTCGGGTCAACCTGACCCCGTATGACAAGCATGTTGATCCAAACCTAGAATTTTTTAATGTCGGGTCCGGATCATGTCAAATATTGACACCCCTACTTCAGTCATAATTATTTGTTTTCTAACTACCTTAGGTCATGGATTAAAATTAAGGGGATTTATATAATTGCACTCAAAGATTTATAACTTCATTATTTGTATAATAATAATATTTTTAAGGAAGTTAATGAAACCCTCAACCACAAAGGTAAAATTGTGAAGGTCGAGATGAGATATAGAGGTGTAAAAGATTCGAGCCGAGCTCAAGTCACACAGGCTTTTGCTAGAACTTGATTAATTAACCAAGTTCGAGTTGGCTCATGAGCTTGCTCTTTTATTATGAAAGAGAGAAAATATTTATTGTTTCTTGCAATTATTGTAAAAAAAATTGTGAATTTTGTGAAATTAAAATAAAATTAATGAAAAATTACTTAGGAGTTGTTTGGTTTGTTAAAAATGGAGTATAGTGTGGAAGAATTATAGTGTATTTGAAATACTTTGGAGTTATTTGAATGAGTATAAAATAAATGCATGCTTTATATTTTTTTTGGTTTGGCTTGAAACAAATTGAATGTAAAGTTCAAAATGATGGAGGTAGGTGCAACCGACGGTGGTAGGAGGGGGGCGGTGGTGTTTAGGTGACCGACAGTGGTCAGCGGTGTCTTGCAGAAGGTGGTGGTGTAATAATCCATATTTTGACTCAATGAAATATTTTTTTAGAGTAGTTGTGATATGATTGTATATATTTAGAGTACTATACACGATTTTTATAAATGCATACATGTGTATATATTAATATTTTGATTGATAGGTTTATTTTTGCTGTTATTTATATTGATAAAATAAATTAAGTAAATTTAGTTATAATATATTAAAAGATAAAAGAATAATTCTTTTAAATTATATTATAGGGCATCACAAACTTGGTATTTGAGCTATAGAAATTGATTGTTAGTCATGTAGTCTTGGCAGATTAAGGTGTATTATTTTGCATAAATAATTGAATGTCATGTGATAGAATGAACTGCATGATTATGTTTTTTTCAACGAATTTCGATATGAGTTTTAATAGTACAAATTTTTTTATATCGATTTTATGTCTAAATTCTTAAAAGAAAAGTGGAGGAAAATATTTTTTAAGGTGGTAGATTGTAATAAAACATATTTTGACCCAATCAAATATTTTTTGTTGTTGTTGTGACATGATTGTATAGAAAGTGTGTAGTTTATATGATTTTTCGGAAATGAACACAAATATATAATTATATTTTGATTGATAATTTTTTTTTATTGGTATTTATATTGATAAAAGACATTAGGTAATTATTGTTGTTATATATTAAAAGATAAAAGGCTACTTCCAAATTAGATTATGGGGTATCACATGCGGTGTATTGCAGAAGGCGGCAGCTATTGGTGGTTAGGAGGACACCAGCGATAATCGACAAAGGTAGCCGACAATGGATATGGGTGGCCAACGACTGGCGACGGCGAGTTTCCAGTGTATTTGGAAATCATACAAATCGGTGGAATTTCAAATACAGTGGATTTGAACTAGAGATTGAATTCCTTTTACTTCAAATTTTTACTCTGCAATCATTTTACTTCAAACCAACGCAACATTCCTAAAAGGCTTTAAAACCCCTACATTTTGAATACTTTACTCCTCTTTTGCAACAAATCAAACAACCCCTTAATATAAAGAAGTGAGTGTAATTTATAAACATTTGTAACAAATTTGTACTTAAAAATCTTGAATACTAATTTATCTTAAATGCATTTTACATTCATATTTTTTAAACATGTCAGCTGGCACGCAAACTTGTCGAGTTAGAGCTTGTTCAAGCATAGCTCAATAGCTCATTGCACTTGGTTCATGAGCCATTTATCGAGTCAAGCTCAAGAGACTCATGATTCGGCTTAACTCACTTATACCCGTAACATGATCTCGTACTTTTCCTTCTAAGGATGGAGCTTCCACCAATGACAGGAGTGACATAATATACAATGCACAACTTTCACCACTTCGTCTTCAATTCATTTGACCTTTCGTTATCCCATCGTCATCTCAATCTCTACCCATAGCTTCTACCATCTCTCATTCCCTCCCGAAACCCCGCCATTTTATTTGATTTTGTCACCACTAACATTTTCCTCATCATCGGTGATGCATTATGAGAGGGGGTGAGGGGAGTTCTAATTTTTATGCTATTTGAAATTTTGAATGTTGTATATGTAAATAATGAAATTAATTTATTAAATATATAAATCCTATAAATTCTAGTGATATATAGGTAAATCCTCTAAAATTAATTGCGATATACTATAATATATAGCAGAACCAAATATCAGTATGATTTTATAAAATAAAATTTGTATCATACATTTACAAGCTTTTGGCAATCTCAAAAGTGATATGCTTGATTACACCATTAATGACTGGCACACAAGATTAGAAGAAGGTTCCTTAATTTTATCATCTTAGATTCATGGATTATTTTCAAAGAATTTAAGACATGATTATAAGGTGTTATGATATAAATAATTATTTTCTTATGATTTTTTAAATGGATAAATCATAGACCATTTTTTAATAATAGCTAGGTGTGTCAATTTCGGGTCATAGGTTGAGTTCGTGTTGAACCAGAGCTGACCCGGTTTTATTCAGGTCTACTCGAACCTGACCTGTTTTTACAAACGGGTCGATTTTTCTGGACTTGAACATGAGCTGCTTCGGGTTCAGGTCAACCTAACCCGACACGTAAGTCTTAAACCTTATTCATTTATTTTGATTTCCCATAACTCACGCGCGCGGTTTGGTTCTCCGGTAGCGGGAGCTGGCAGCGGTTGTGAGTTGGGCAACAACAACGGTGCAGGCGACGACGCGACAATAAGCAGACGGGCAGACGCTATAGCGACTCGTTGCGATGCAATGCAACGCGGGCATCCGGGACAGGCGGGGCATGCAACACAAGCATGGGCGATCAGAGCAAGCAAACAAGTTTTTTCGGGTCATTCCGAGCCATTTCCGGGTTTTAAGGTCAACCCAAATCCTACCAGGTTTTGCAAACTGGTCGATTTTCCAGACCCGCTGCCGGCTCGGGTCAAACCAAATCCAAAATTTTTTGGTCGAATTTTTTGGATCGGGCTTTCGGGTCGGGTCCATTATTGACACCCCTAGTAATAGCATACAAAATTTTGATCAATTTCAAATGATAAAATACTTCTCTTTAAAAATAAATAAATATTCAATTATAAATACATTTAATCATACAAACAAACAAGAGGTTAGGGTCAAATCCCTCGACCAACTAAATTAGATATGCAAATAAAATATTTTGACTAAGAAAAAAAATATTTAAATGCTTAATTTTATTTTGAGGTGAAATTTTGAGATACTCGAAAAGCATATAAACCAAATGATGGGCCTTCCAATATTTAAATATTCGGTGGCTATGAATGAGCCTATAATACCAGCAGATGGGCCCCTCCAATCCTCCGGCCCAGTTAGCTTCCATCACCAAAAAATTCTCTCCCAACTTCCATCAGTCATCTCTAAAAGCCAATAAACCCTAACCCCTCCCCGCAGAGAACAAGAAACAAAATGGCCAACAAACCCTACTCGTTCCCTCCTTCCTCGCCCATGGATCATCTCCTCATGCAAAGCCTCATGAACCGGCTACACCTCCGCTCTCCATCATCTGATGATTCTCCTAATTCTCTCTTCCGAGACCTTTTCCCCCAACTCTCCGACGAACATTTTCCTCTCTCCGATGACGACTCCAACGACGCCAACGACGCCAGCGACCTTTCCGATGATAGTCGTCGTCGTCGCAATATCGCGAAGGAGGAAGCGAAGCTTGAGAGGGAGATCATTCGAATTATCCGTGCAGGCAACGCCGAGGAGGCGCTTAAAGCTAACTCTGGTCAATCCGTCGCCGTCGGCGAGCACAACATCTGCGTCGGGGCTCACGAAGAGGCTGATGGTAACTACAAGGTCTGGGAGTGGCACGGCCATATAATGATGTTCGACGAAGAGGATGGGTTCAATGCGGAATATGTGTACGGGAATCACTTTGAGAGGTTGCCGGAAAAGAAAGGAAAGACTGGGAAGGTGGAAGGAGATGAGAAGGAAGAGGCAGAACCAAGGGGTGGTAGTTCAGGGTTGAAGGATTTGATCGGAGATTTGAAGGATTCGAGTGGCAACCGGAATGGAAGGGTTCTTCATCGGAATTTTTTCACTTCTGGATCGTCTTCAAAGTAAAGGTAACATGTGGTATGGAATTTATTATATTGCTTTGGTCTTTCTATGATGCAAGGTGGGTTCTTTATATAGTTGAATTTGAATCTGATTCCATTTATCTTATTTGTTAGATTGCATTCTTTGTAAAATACTTCATCCTAGCTACATTATTTCGGGGGATTGGCTGCTCTCGATGATGATTCTTTAAAGACAATGAGGGTTGCGATGTAGCTCATCACTTTTAGCATGTTTTTCTTATGCTCTTTAATATGTTAATTAGCCTCCGACGTTTAATATTGGTTAAGTGACTTTTGGAGTTTGCCTTAGTAATGCGTCAAATGTTTTTTTTTTTTTTTGAAGTAAAATTGTTTTACATATTTGTCATAGTTGGAAAAATCTATGCTCGGTGGTCCTCCAAAAAGATGTTTGCTCTTTATTTACAAATTTTATTGCCAATTCCCCAAAAACAAAAGATTGAAGTGAAAATAACTTCCACTCTTTTCTATTGTGTGATTAATTAGATAAAATATACGATGTGAGTTGCACGAGACAGAAAATGTGATAGCTATTTTGTAGTTTATAGGAATTCGATGATTGCACGACTAAGCTAGATCAGCCATATACTTAGGTTAAAGGCAAGAAAGATTCCACCTCTTCGTTCTATAATCCTTGTTAACTCTTATTAATATATAATTATCAAGGCTACCTTTAGTTCAATGAAATCAAGTTAAATGCATAGAAGAGAATAGAAAGAAATTTGGCTTAAAATTTTGATATATATTTCTTATGGAAGAGTATCTGTAATATGTCTCTTAGTTATAACAACTGAAGATCTTGAAACAAACAAGGTAAAGACAAATGTATCTTAATAAGAGAAATCACATAAAGTGTAATGCAAAATACTAAAATGTCAAAAATAACAAAATAAGAAATATTGATAGACTTGCTGATAAACATGTCTAGCTATTAGTCTAGCCTTCGTCAAGGTATTGATGTTAGGCCATCACCAAAATTATGAGATTTTAGTATGACCATAGCCACTTACAATCTCTAGTTGAAAGGTTCAAATTAGGTTATGCTTGTTGATAATAGATTTCTAAAGTCAAAAGAATCTCTTACCAATTTCTTATTTTAGGATCTGACTTTATTCTTATTTTCAAGATGGTGCTTTGTTGTGTGTGCATGTATTATATCTTTCGAAACATGTTGTGAAAATTATAATTCAAGAATCAAGACTATGTATCAAGAATATAAAACTTAGTTTCTATTTCAAAGGATCTTAAGGATATATTTTTATTTTGGGCATCAAGTTCTAAGCAAGATGGCCATTATGCTTTGGAATCTTTGATTGAGGATTCCTCGTTGGGTTAAACGAAGAGGGTACTAGTGAAGCCCATGAGGATGAGATTGATCGTGAGTTATGGTGAAATTGAGGAAGCCTGAAGAGTCTCTATTTAAATCTCATTTATTGTCTCCTAGCACACTTAAGGTTATTGTTTATTGGCATACAAACTAATTTTCATATTTGGTTAGAGTTAGAAAAATAATGTGAGCTCATTAAATTTAATGGGAATTTATATGCATATAGTTTCTAATGAGGGTAAGAAAGAATGTAATTTAAACTTGTGTCTCATTAATAATCATATAAGAGCTTTGGGTGGATAACTTCATAACTCATTATGCAAGTTACTAAGAAAATATTTAGCCTTCACCTATGTCTAGTAAGATATATCTTAAGTCTTAACTATAGGTCTTTTATAGGTCCTTGGTAGATCTTCATTATATTATCTGGATGTGATTAACTTTGATTGAACCAATGTTTGTGTTTTCAAACATTAATACATGAAGATTATACTGAATCCCTCCAAGCCAAAGGACATAAATAACATCTCTATTAAGGAATTGAAGGAACTTCTCCATGTATGGAGTAGACATTTTGTTTCAATGTGTGATTGTTGTAAAGTTTGCTTATGCTTTACAAAATATAGAATTTCAAGACCTTCTTGTTTGATATTTTATCTTTCTTATGGATGATAGTTAGATTTGATCTTCATTTTAGTTATTTTGTCCTAATCATTTGATTTATGAGCTACCAACTCTATATGGAAAATAATTTGTTATAAATCTATTTGTTAGGAAAGTAGAGGTATTAGATTTGACTTATGTTAAAAAAAGTAGAGGTAGACCTAAAAAGACTTGGTTAGAAAATATTAGAAATGATATTTATGTATTAGATTTAAACGAGAACTTAACTTTTAACAAGACAAAATGGAGAAAGAGGATTCATGTAGCCGACCCCACGTAGTGGGACAAAGGCTTGATGTTGTTGTTGTTGATATTTTGATTTTAAAAGATATATGGCTTGATTGCACAAGAGAAACTTAATTAGAGATAGAGCTTAAACCTTATGTCAAAAATAGGAGTTGGTGTTTTTTTTTTTTGAGAGAAAAAAAAAGAAGAAGAAGTTGGTGTATGTATTTATGGTAAAGTCATCTATTATATTACCATCAAGCACATGTTCATATACCTAAGCTTATGGTATGTTTGTTAGTCCAATAATCTTTAATATTGTTGATCTTTGAAGTGTTAATCGGCAAATATGAATGTGCGAGGAGGGGTAGCGAGTAGAATACTACTTTTAAAAAACAAAGGATAGATTGAATAGTGGTTGGCTACGCCTTTTTGTCTTATCAATGGTTCAAGCGCATTAAAAGGACTTTGAATGATTTGGTTTGTTCATTTATTGACATCTTCCTTGCCTATTAGCACCTTTATTTGTTTTGATGATATCTTGATTAGTTGCAGGATTAATAAGAACCATTGCACGTCTTTGTAAGCTTCATTGGTTTTACATTGTGTGAATTCTTCATTGATCTACATTTATATTAATTAGTTTAGTTAATATTTCTTCATTTTGTTGTTTCAATTGTTTATTTTGAGTGTTAAAATTTTTTTGTGAATATCCTAAACCTATCATTTTTTTTAGCCTAGGAGTTTCTATTGATGCTTTTACAACCATCTCTATGCGGGCATGTGAAGTTCTATTGTGCAAAGGCCTAGGAGGGTCACTCAATGACCGACCTTAGTGGTTAATTGAAGGGCAATAAGAAATAAGAAATATCTCTTTTGTAATTGAGAGTTTATTTCGTTTACAGAATTGGCATATTTACTAGTTATGACGGTTTTTTCCGACAAGGTTAGGTGATATTTGAGTTACAAAATAAAATAGGGGCCCAACATAATAAGCGGCTCTAATACTGTTATAAGATATTTTTGTCCTGTTGTTATGTGGGTGTTGAGAACAAGCATGATAATTCACTTGTTAGGGCAACCACTATCATGCATATTATGGACGTTAGCATTGTCTAATTGAAACCATCATTTCAAATTATCTTTTGCACCAATAAAACTGGTAGACAATTAATGCAAAGTTTGGAAGAAAATGTGTAAACTATGGGTAACATGGAAAAAAGATTTTAATGAACGATTTGTACAAAAGAGTTAACGCTTCATGTAGCATTAAAAAATATGATAAGACTATTCATAAAGTTGATCCTCAATTTTTGTCATAATGCTAATGATTATGTTGTTTTTGAAATTTAAGGGATAAGACTTAATGATGATGATGCCTTTGAATGATCTATCAGTCCACTCATTTTGGCATGGCGCTTTTGACTTATAATTTGAGACGTATTATTTTTCAATTCTTCAACAACTGGTGATCTGATGCGGTGCATCTCATTGTCACGGCGGGTGTCAAAGCCTTAGTGACACGTCATTTTATTTGCTTCCTGTTTTTTATTATTAACTAGTTTATTTACATGAGGTGATGGAGCAGCTTTCCGTTAGGATGCTTCCTGCTCCATTCTCTTAGCTTTTCCTTATTTAGTTACTGGTACCGTGGCCTTTCTTTTAGGCAGCCTTTGTTTTAGTAAGTTGTCAGTTTTTGCTCTTGGCCACTGGCTTTATCTTCTCCGTTGGAGGATGAAGAAGTTAGTTGATGAAATACATTTTCAGGCAAAAGTCTTTTTATTATTCTTGCCTTTATTGTTATTTTTCTGTGAACCTGCTTCTTCCAAAGTTCAATAGGTATGCTTTGGAAGAAGCAGGTTCACAGAAAAATAACAATGAAGGCAAGAACAATAGAAAGGCTTTTGCCTGAAAATGTATTTCATCAACTAACTTCTTCATCCTCCAACGGAGAACATAAAGCCAGTGGCCAAGAGCAAAAACTGGCAACTTACTAAAACAAAGATTGCCTAAAAGAAAGGCCACGGTACCAGTAACTAAATAAGGAAAAGCTAAGAGAATGGAGCAAGAAGCATCCTAACGGAAAGCTGCTCCATCACCTCATGTAAATAAACTGGTTAATAATAAAAAACAGGAAGCAAATAAAATGACGTGTCACTAAGGCTTTGACACCCGCCGTGACAATGAGATGCACCGCATTATTCTCCCCCGCTAACAGAAGAATCTAAATCCGTGGATGAAAGATTAGTCGGGGCTGCATCAGGTGGATGATAAACCGTGAGATCACCGATATTGAATGTGCTGGAAGTATTGTAGTGCTTAGGTAAATCAATCACGTACGCATTGGGATTTATCTGTTTAAGCACAGCAAATGGTCCGATCTTTCGAGGGCTCAGTTTTGAATAGGTATTGGCCGGAAACTGTTCCCTCCGGATACGAATCATAACCAGATCACCCGGCTTGAAAGCACGAACTCGGCGATTCCTATCAGTCGCTTCTTTATACTTTAAATTAGAGTTAGTGAGCTTCTCCTTCACTTCCTGGATCATCTTTGCAAATTGAGCAGCGAAATCTGCGGCGGGTTGGCTGATGCATTTCGGGATCACGGCGACATCCACGGTGTGGTTCGGGAGTTTCGTATAGACCACACTGAAGGGACTCTTTCCAGTAGATCGGTTAGTCATACTGTTGTAGGCGAATTCGGCTTGCCCCAACAAATCATCCCACAGTTTTGGATGATCTTGGACCAAGCATCGAAGGAGATTCCCTAGAGTTCAATTCACAACTTCAGTCTGTCCGTCTGTCTGTGGATGATAAGCGGAGCTGAGCTTGATGTTCGTGTGTAATCTCCTCCATAATTCTTTCCAGAAGTTGCTAACAAGTTTGACATCACGATCAGAAGTCAAGCTCCGCGGGACGCCATGTAGTCGCACAATTTCGGCGAAGAAAATACGAGCGACGTTCAAGGCATCAAAAGTCTTCTTACATGGCACGAAGTGAGCCATTTTGGAAAATCAATCAACAACGACCATGATCAAGTCGTGACCGCGACGAGTAAGGGGTAATCCCAGTACAAAATCGAGACTCAAATCTTCCCAAATAGTGTCCGGCGTGGGTAATGGTAAGTATAATCCGCTGAGTTGTCCGCCGGTCTTATAGCTTTGGCAAATGGGGCACCTCTCGACGAACCTCATGACATCTCGATGCAAATGCGTCCAAAAGAATCTACATTTCAGCTATAACCTGTAGGTAAGTGTTATTTCTCCCCACATGTGCCGCAAGTTCACCGCAATGAACCTCCTTGATGAGTTGCGGTCTCCACGATGAATCTGGAATACAAAGCTGGTTTTGGTGAAATAAGAATCCATGACGAATGGAGAAGTCTTTAATAGTGTCACCACCCGAACACTCATCCCAGATTTTTGCAAAGTCACCATCGGTTGAGTACAAATCCTTTAAGCATTCTACTCCCGTGATCTCGATCTGGAGCTGTGCAATGAGTGCATGCCGTTTGCTGAGGGCGTCGGCGACTTTATTCTGTGCTCCGGACTTGTGTTGTAATACGAAGGAGAATCTCTGCAGAAATAAAACCCATCGAGCATGCATTCTATTTATGTGCTTTTGCTGGTTGATTAATTGGAGTGCGCGGTGATCACTACAAAGAATGAATTCTTGGTGCAGAAGATAAGGTTCCCACTGTTTGAGTGCCCGAATCACCGCGTAGAGCTCTTGTTCATACACACTCCATTTTTGCCTAGATGGACACAACTTCTCACTAAAAAACTCCACCGGTTTGTGTTCCTGGCTCAAGACGGCTCCGATGCCCACACCGGAGGCATCAGTGTCAACCTGAAAGGGTTTATCAAAGTTGGGCAAAGTCAACACCGGAGCGGAAGATAATGCCATCTTGATGTTTTCGAAGCTATCTATTTGTTCTCCTCCCCAATGAAATTGTTTTAGCTTCAAACAGTTGGTGATCGGCGCCATTATAGTGCTGAAATTCTTGATGAATCGCTGATAAAAATTAGCCAACCCATGAAAACTCCGAACATCAGTAAATGATTTTGGAGTTGGCCAATTTCGGATAGCCTCCACCTTCCGGTTGTCTACTTTTACTCCTGCGGCAGATACAATAAAACCAAGAAATTTAACTTCATGGACGGCGAAAACACACTTACTTGGATTCAATTATAAGTGATTGTGTCGAAGGGCCGTGAATATGGTCGTCAAGTGTGTCCGGTGTTCCTCCAGAGATGCAATGAAAACGAGAATATCGTCGAAGTATGCGACGCACGAAATATTGAGGAAAGGCTTCAAGACTTCGTTCATCAACCGCATAAATGTGGACGGAGCATTGCACAGCCCGAACGGCATCACCTTCCATTCATACATCCCATGGCGGGTTTTGAACGCCGTCTTCCACTCGTCTCCAGGCCGGATCCGAATTTGATGATACCCGCTGCGAAGATCCAGCTTAGAGAAAATAGTGGCGCCGGTCAGCTTTTCCAACAGTTCTTCTACCTGTGGCACTGGAAAACGGAATTTGACAGTAATTTTGTTAATCGCGCGGCTGTCAATGCATAGTTGCCAACTGCCATCTTTCTTGGGAACTAATTGGGCCGGAACCGCACACGGACTTAGACTGGGCTGGATTAAATTGTTCTTCAGCAGTTCATCCATTAAATGTTGCAAAGTCTGATGTTCTTTCGAGCTCAACCTATGATGTGGTAAGTTAGGGAGTGTAGATCCGGGCACAAAATCTATCTGATGTTATAGCGCTCTCAAGGGCGGTAAGGATGTCGATGGTGTTTCAACTAGGAGATCCCGAAACTGTTCAAGCAAGGCTGCAATTGAATTGTGATCTTTACTAGTCACGCCGTCTGGAACAGCTTCCGTGATGATTAGAGAAAATAATTGGGTGTCTTCCTTCCAGCTTGACAACAGACTGTTGCCTGTGACCAAATGTAGCACGGGTCGGATGGTCTCTGAACTATCTTTTTGCCCATTCGAATGCGGTAGCAATCGGAGTCGTTTTCCCTTCCAATCCAGCGAATAAGTATTAGCTCTTCCATCATATAAGGCACCCACATCAAATTGCCAAGGACGACCAAGTATCAAGTGGCATACGTCCATTTCCACTACGTCACACAGCACCTCGCACGAATAGTGCTTACCAATGGAGAATTGTATTCGGCACATTTCCGACACCATGATTTCCATTCCTTTCTTTACCCAACCTATCTTGTAAGGATGTGGATTTTTCGTAGTCTTTAGTTGTAATGCTTAAACAACTGCCCGGGAGACTACATTTTCGGTGCACCCGCTATCGACGAGGAGGTCGCACACTTTCCCGGAGATGGTACACTTGGTTCTAAAAATAGCATGGCACTGGGAATTACCTTGTTGTCTCGGCGCCAACAGAAGTTTCTCCAGGACGCATACTAACGGTTCACCTTCATCTCCTACCACATTCTCGACTTCGATATTGAATCCGTCCTCCAATTGACCTGGATAAACATCTTCCTCTCCTTCGAGTAACTGCAGCTGCTGTCGATTCGGGCATTCATTAGACTTATGTCCAGGTTGAAAACACCTGAAACATTTGAGGCCTTGTGGCCGAGGGTACATATTTTCTCTAAAAGGAGCTTTCGGCCTTATTGGAGCTTTTGGATCCGTAATTGACTTGCTCGGGTTAGCTAACCCACTACCATCTGTCTTTAGTGGCGACTTCCGGATGGCTGTTCCAGGTGGTCTTGGACTTTCCGCTCCAATGTCTACGAATGTTCGTCTGTTTGAATGGCTCCTCAGCTGCCGTGTCAACTGGATTTCGGCCTTGAGTGCAAAGTTTACAGCTTGAGACAAGGACCAAACGAAATTTAACTCCAGCTTGTCCCGGATGCTGTATTTCAATCCCCCGATGTAACGAGCTACCAGCTGGTTTGTAGTCTCGTTTAAATCATTGCGTGCCGACAGAGACAGACAGTAAAGCTCCTCCGTGTATTCACTAACAGATCGTTGCCCTTGTACGCAATGTTGATATTTTAAATAAAGCATCTGTTCGTAATCTGTGGGAAGGAAATGTCCCCACAATAGTTGTTTCATACGCATCCAGTTGCGGACAGGACCCCGCCTCTCTCTTCGACGAGTTTGTAGCAATTGCGACCACCAAGCACTCGCCCCTCCCTTGAGCCGACAAGCAACATACTTGACTTGTTTTTCGATTTCAATTTCCATGTAGTCAAAAAAGTTTTCCACGGATCGTTCCCAATCAAGATAATCCTCTATGTGCAATCGTCCGTCGAAAAAAGGGATATCGAGTTTCACACGAAACTCACCATTGTTTCGATCACGGCCCAAATGCCGGTGATGTCTCCGCTCACCCAGGTCTACGTCCGAATCTAAAAACCCATTTGGAATGAAACTATCTCGTTCTTCATCGGATTCGGATAGCTCCGGGAGCAATGTGGCTCTTCTCCGACCTCTAACCGGAAATCCACGGTGCCCAATTGCTTGCGTTCCCACAGGTGGAGCTGGTCTTCCCCCACGTATCGGTAGTTCCCCTGTTCTAATGACTGGCGGTTCTCGGCGTAAGACTGCGGCGATCCTGTCTATTGCTGCGGCCATGTCATCCAATCTTTTCTCCATACCAGTGTGCGCAGCCCAAAGTGCCTCCAGACTTCGGTCCTCCTCGCTCGTCACACGCTTGTTGGACTCTGCCATCTCTCCGAGCCTCCGACTCTGAGAGATGCTCTGATACCATCTATCCGAGCCTCCGGCTCTGATACTAGATGATAAGATATGCTTTGGAAGAAGCAGGTTCACAGAAAAATAACAATGAAGGCAAGAACAATAAAAAGGCTTTTGCCTGAAAATGTATTTAATCAACTAACTTCTTCATCCTCCAACGGAGAAGATAAAGCCAGTGGCCAAGAGCAAAAACTGGCAACTTACTAAAACAAAGACTGCCTAAAAGAAAGGCCACGGTACCAGTAACTAAATAAGGAAAAGCTAAGAGAATGGAGCAGGAAGCATCCTAACAGAAAGCTGCTCCAACACCTCATGTAAATAAACTAGTTAATAATAAAAAATAGGAAGCAAATAAAATGACGTGTCACTAAGGCTTTGACACCCGCCGTGACAATGAGATGCACCGCATCATGATCTATAATAGGGCCAACTCTCTGTACATTAGGTACTCTTTATTAAGAGGCAGTGCAGAACTAAATAACCCATTTTGATCTATTTTTCAGGTAATCTTTATGAAAAGGCAGTGCAGAAGTTTCATTAAATCGAGTTAAAGGGGCATCTGGAAGTCCAGTATTGAAGAATATTTAGAATGCTTGCTCTCTCCACAATTCCATTGTGGTATATTTTCTCACCTGGTTTTCTTGTTTTGGAGAGCGAATGTGTTGCTTTTCTTGTAGCTATGCTTTGTGGTTTTCTCTCTAACTCTTTTTGGTTTGGCTGCAACTTCTCTCATGACTCATAAATGATGATGTTTATTTTGACATTATAAATTCGCTGAGCTTCATTTATGATGACACTTCATCAGCTCTCATGAAGTATCAGAGTTTGGTAGTTGCTTGATTCACAGATCCACTAAAAGCTTAGTTTCCACATGAAGAAGATATGAAGCTCGGAGAGATAATTATTTCTTAAGAATTATTTAATTCATGCTTCAGTGCATACAAATTTATTCTTAAATATTTTGTATTTATCTTTTTTAATCTATATTAAGTCTTTTTTTTTAATTATTCTATGTTTAAATGATTTAAGATGAAACTCGCTAATTAAAATTATCAATTATAAGAAGTATATATAAAATTAATGTTAATCCTTAACATAAATGTCACATGATGATGCCTCGATTATTCCACAAATATTTTATACTAGCATCTTATAAATATTAAAAATTTAACTGGGTTTTTAATAACCATCTTATACTAATTATGATCAGAAAACTAATTAGTAAATCTCCTAAACTAATTTTAATCGATGTTCCGAGAAAAGAAGGTTGAATATGAGTTGGCTCGACCAAAGCACAAGCTCACTTGACCTAAACTAGAGCTGCATTAATTGCATTAGAGGTCCAGCTTGATCCCCCATCTAGGAAAAATTATTAGGTCCTACCACCTAACGTAGAGATGTGTCCTCTTATTGCCAAAAAACTCGATTTTTGCTCGGTATTGCTAGGTATTATTTGGTAATAACGAGGAATATCATCATGTGAAGACCAATACCGAGCTATATCGAGCAATACCGAGTTATGCAAAAACATACCGAGTTTTTTCTAGGAGAAACTAGGTATTTTTTTGTATTGCTCGGTATAACTTGGTATTGGTCTTCACATGATGATATTCGTTGTTATTGTTTGGTATTGCTCGGTATTTGCTTGGTATTTCTCGTTTTTAGTGCGATTTTAGCTATGAGAGGACGCATCTCTACGTCAGGTGGGAGGACCTAATAATTTTTTCACATCTAGCCTCCACAACTTGGTTTCGTGATAATTTCACAAAATAAAAGGCGAATTCCAAATTTTCAAATCCTTATACAGCAAATTTGTTTATTTCCAATCACATCAAAAAAAAAAAAAATGGCAGTAGTAAGAACAAACAATCATATCGAAACAAAAAAGAGGATTCATGCATCATGGGAATCAATCTGATTTTTTTACAATGCAAACTCAATAACAGGAAATTCAAGGGTTACATTAATATAAAATAAATAAACCATAACTGAAATTTAAGTTTTTTTTGCATTTAATTGGAATAAAAATGAAAAAAAAAACTAGGACATGAAAGAGGTGATTTCATTGTGAAAGCGTCACAGCAGCATCATAACTGCAGGAATGTTGTCATGGCAGAGGAGGTGCGGAATGAAAAATTATTCTGTGTGGAGATTGGACGCAAAATATTGTCCAGAGACCAATTAGAATGTGCCATGTCAGCAATACTGAGTTGCGATACCGATCAAGCGGTTACATGGCGTATTCCGGTTGATTTGTGGTTTTTTACTGATTCTTAAAGTAATTTTTTAGTACAAAAATTAAGAAGCTGTATCACATCAAACGAAGTCTTAGTGGGATGGGCAAGCCGTATGGCATCATACACAAATTTTGCCTAAATTAGACGAGTTCATAATACAAAAAAAAAAAAAAAAAAACAAATGAGTCTCTAATTCATCAAAATTTTTCCTGGTAGTACAAACTACAGAATTTGACTATAAAATATTAATTTATGCTGCTAACCATTATGCAGTTAAGTATTACAATTCCTACCTTCAGCAACAGAAACACCAAATCACTTTGAATAAATAGGACAGAGATCCAATCACTTTCTACCTGCTAAGGAGGAGTCAATACTTTGACATGCCAAGAATGGGCTTTCGAATGCCATGATCCTCTTGCTTGTTCAACATAGTTGTTCAAAGTATGTGTGCTTTCATCTATCTTGTCAGTAGACATCGTATCTTCTGCAAGTTTAACAGCCGAATATTGAGACAACTGGAAGTTATCTCCTGAACACTGAAGCTGGCGAGCAATTTCATCCTTTCCCAGCATCAAAAGAGCTAACAGTAACGATTTAAGCTCCCGAATAGCGCCTTCAGTAAGAGCCATGCCTTTCAAATGCTCAATCAGTGCCATCTCCTCTCCAGGGCTGCCATTTTCCATATATTTATAAGCCAAAAAAGCAATCATCAAAACCAAACGCAGCAAAAAAAATGATGAGTAAAAAACCTTTTGAACTTAATTTTATGCATTTATGAATAAGGTTTTATTTGGGACAGCTTTCTTTCTGTGCTTCTTAAAGCCGCTTCTTAGTACAAAAAATTATTTTTGTACTAAAAACTGCTTTAAGAATCAATAAAAAATCCGTCCCAAACGAAGCCTAAATCGTCATCAATTTAAGAAAAAGAAGAATACAAAACAAAAATCTCAACAAATATGCATGTCAATGTGGAAACTCCAGCCTGTTTAATACCGACCTTCCAGCGCGAATTTTTCCTCCCTTACTTTCTTTGCGTCGTATTTCTCGTGCCTTCCTAAGGGTCGTGGAGGCGGTCGAAGTAACTGAATCTTTAGCAGTCCTGCCAACAGCCAAGTTTTTGGATGATAGATTAACAGCAGCAAAGAAACTTTATAATTCAAATAGTTGATTGGCATGTCAAATCAGTAAAACAGATTTTCAAGAAGCTACTTGGTACAAAGCATGGGAATTCAACTACAAGAAAGATGAAATACCTTGTGGTGTATGCACTCATCTCACTGAAATTGCTGCTAATTTCAGAAACACTATCATAATCTGAAATTTCTGTTGATCTGCCTTCAGATTGAATTTTAGCAGAAAGTAGTATCCTTCTCTGGCGTACAGCTAGGTAGCGAGCTAAGTACTTCCCAACTTTTTCGAGTGCCTCCCTATAGTCAGACATTAACGAACTCGCACATTCCAAAGCTGCATCTTGAACATGAGATTTTAAATCCTCCCTTTGATGCATATGAGTGATTCTAAGAGCCTCTTCCCATTCTCGAGCCACTATGTAATACCCGACGCATCGACCAACATCTTTACAATACTCCAATGCAATCCTTGCAGCCTCAGCTGGCTTACCTAGTGCTTGAAATTCTTCAATAAGTTCGTTTGCCAGTAGAATAACATCTGCTTCACACAGGCCAATAAGTGCAGCTACTGTGAGCACACCTTTCCAGTCACCACAACTCCTACAAGCTTTCAAGGCCTTCTGATGAGAAGAACAGCACAAATAAGCAGAAGCAGCATCTTCAAAGCATTTTTCATTATGAAGATGATCACCCCATGCCTCTAAGACTTCTCTTCTCTTTACATTTTTGGCGAACAGTTGAAGGCCAAGTGGAAAAAGTTGTGGATTATTCTTCATGAGATTTAAGCATTCTTCATAATGGCCTTCACCAGCTGAAAATATATGTTTCAGTGCACTCTCATACCTTTGCAACCTCAGATCAATTGTATACCTCATGATAACAGGCGGCAAATTTTCCAGTTCTTTGAGATAGGGAAGAAATTCTTTAGGATCTTTTTGAGAGTTCAATGCAACAATGGCAGCAAGGTTTAGGTCATAAAGGCCCAAAGCAGTTTCAAAGACAGCTTCAGGATATGCTAACCATAACAGATGCTTCAAGGATTCTTCAGCAGAAGGGTATGATATCCATTTAGCATCATGGACACCCAATACTTCCATTTCACGGATAGATTTTATTCTCTTAAGTGCTTCATCTAAAGCTGGTGGCTCGTTGCGAGCTAAAGTTGTCAATATACAGAGCTCTCTAGCTGGACTTTCTTTTACTTGTTCTTCAAGGGCTTTTCGTATTGCCCGCAAAACAGAATTTACTTTTCCATCTGCTATAGAAATAGAGCTTTCCATTTTTGCATTGGATGTTTCATCAAGTATTGACAAAGAAATGTAATCTTTATACAAACTATCCATGACATTTCCACCTTTTATTGAAGAAACAAATTCCGTGACATAAGCAAGATTATCAACTTGATTAACAAACTCTGCAGCTGATTTTACAAATGTTTGCCAGCCAAAGCAGTCAATAATGAAATTAAAATCTATCCTGTGCCTCCTCACCATAGACAATGCATCTTTGAAGCGTTTCTGCGTTAATGCATTAATTATTGAAACAAGGACCAGTTTTCTGGGATAAATACATTCTAAGCTGCCCCGATTAGCTTGTAAGATGACAGCAGCTTCATCTCCGTGCAGGGTTCCAATCAATTTTGCACCCTTCTCCCACATATTAACAAAGTCTCTATCGTTATCTTGTTTATTCTGCAAATTATTGAAGTCTTCAATTTTCATTTCCTTTTTTCCATGTAAAATATCTTCAATGCTAACAATGAATAGCAAATCCTGCTTGGTAGTGAGAACAAGATGTGTAATTTGCTCGGTACCACCACAACTACTAGAATATAGTGTAAAGCTACTGCAATTGTTGTATAATATCCTCTTACCAACCTGTAGCTTACCTTGGTAGTCAAGCCCGAAAAGTAAAGTCTTTACCATGCCATTGTCACAAACACTAGCTGCTTTCATCCAGGGACAAGATGCTGAAAATCCACATATAGGGTCAATCTCACTAAGTTGTAGTAGTCTTCTTGGTAGAGAGGCATTGGACGTATACTCGTAGATAGACCCGCCGTCATTCTGAACAAAAGCTGATGCCTTTTTACAAGGATTTGGTACAATGCCAACAACAGGCCCTTCTAGAGGCAAACTTTTAGAGAGGATTGCATGCCAACCAGAAGAGTTTACTAGTTCAGGCACAGAATCCTCTGAGCATACAACTTCAATCTCCAACAAAGAATATTTAGAGCAGTTCAATTTTTGATGAAGAAGCTCATTCTCATGTTGTGAAGGTGTTGAGAACAAACCATATTGGTTGAAAGATATGCCAAGTAAGAGGTGAGAATCTAACCACATGATGTGTGCAAATGTTCCCAGTGTGAAATCCAACCTTGAAGTTTCAATGACAAATTCTTTGTCCTCAAAATGCTCCCAGGATTCTATCCCTGGAAGCTCCATAATACATAAACTACCATCTGCAAGGCTTGCAGCCAAATGGTTCTTCGAGCTGTTATAAAGGAAAGCAACATCCTGAATGGCAGTTGGAAATTTCAAGGTGAACAGAGACATGGGAGGTGGAATGAGGGACAGATTCAGAGGAGAAACTAATAGTTTGGTGCCATCAACAACCAACGCAGTTGAATTCGCTGTTATAGCGGTGATCCACACAAAACTGTAGGTTGCAATTCTTCCATGGAGGGTCCAACAAATGAGAGTCATTGGCTTTGTCGGGTTCCACATGAACTTCACACCTTCTCTCTTTGAGTATCTTATTTCTTGTTTCAAGTACCAATGGTTGTTCCCGAAAAACCAAATTTTAATAGCATCATGCTGCGCACATGTGACAGAGGTAGCAAGGAGGTCAGAACTACAATTCCATCTTATGAGGTTGATTTTGGCTGGCTCATCTATGCATAAGGAATTCCGTTCAAGTCCATTCTTCTCAAAGAAAACTATAATTGGGTTAGTTCCAATCTCGCAATTATATGCCGTCGCCAACTTGGCACCGCTCGGCATCCAATCTAAAGCTTCTCCTACAAAAGCCTTAGCTTCTGTCTCAGAATGTAACATGCCGGATTCACGCTCCCAAATCTTCAACTTTTTCGATGAACATTCATGAAGTCCCCCAAGAGTAGCAAAATACTTCCCATCACCTCTCCAAGAAATTGGGGCATAAAATTCGTAAGGATAACCATCTACATCACCTATGGCATTATTCTGGTAATAGATCGAGAAAATTTACAGTTAAGATAAACTAACTTATATTGTATAAGTTATCTCAAATATCAAAGCATGCTCTGCACAAATATATATCATGCATCTGATATACAAGCAGCCACGTACTCAATACAAAAATCAAGTGCTCCCACTTATATTACTGTAATCAGTAATGCATAGCGAAGGGAAAAATGAGCAGCATTAATGAGCTTGCTGTGTAAAAAGTAGGCAAATCTAGTTTACAAAAATAGAATTTAGCTGATTGGCAAGGGAAGTAAAATAAGTGCATTAGAAGAGCTTTGCGGCATAAAATAGTGATTGGCAAGGGAAGTAAAATAAGTGCATTAGAAGAGCTTTGCAGCATAAAATAGTTCATAGGTAGCTGAAGACATAAACATGAAGTCATTTTGACTGCCACCCAAGAAATATAAAATGAAAACCGGATTGGGTTCATTTAAATAAAAAAAGGTAAATTTATAAAGATACAAATTTGAGGGATTTACATATATACCACTGTATTTCATGCTATTTAGTATTTACATATCCAACACCTAAAACTTTAATATTACATGCCTAGCATTCATATAATAAATATGAGTGCATAAAATGAAATATTAAAGTTTATAGGGTGGTATGTGAGGTAAGAATGAAATATAGGAGTGATATATTTGATATTAAAGTTTTACGGGAGTATTAACTATGAAATATTAAAGTTTTAGGTGTTAGATATGTAAATAGCATGAATTAAAGTGGTATGTATGTAAATTCTCCTAAAAATTTCAATTCCCTTCCACCTAAGAGATAAAAGTAGCGCCTTTATGAGAAAATTATAGCAATAGTTCAGCATGACCCAAGGCATTAGTACTATCAGAAAGGCTTAAGATTGATTGCTTACTTAAATCATCACCTTTATGTTGAGATCAAATTCATGTAAAACTTCCCAATCATTAGTAATCACAAGTAATCTCCCTATTCCAGAAGTTATGGCCAGAAGAGCTCCATCCGGACTGCCTGCAATGTATTTCACACCACCTTCCACTCTACCAACAACTTCAGTTGTACTGTCATCCACAGTATGCAGTATAAGACATCCATCGGATGTTCCAAGCACCAAAGCCTCCTTCTCCATCAAGTAATCCATAGCAGTAACGAAGTCCCCAGGCTCTAGAGTAACTGGAGCAATTTGAGGTGATAGGAGAGATTTGTTCCATGACTTACCTTCCTGATGCATGAAAATTGAAAATATAAATACAAAGATGTGGTTGAAGGAAAAAAAATGTCAAGCAATGAGTTTGGATAAATAATAACAACAAAATATCAAGTTCATGGTCTGCCATGACAAATATCAATTTTCTGAGCACAAAATCTACCCCCAAACCGGAAATTAGGAGAAGAAAATAATTTAAGAAAGGTAATATGCCATCAAGGCCAATGATAAGAAGTAAATATATTGCAGTAAAAAATAATAAGCAAATAACTGCTAATAAGCAACAAAAATTAATTGGTTAGCAAGCAATCTCAGGCACGCACGGCTAAAACTGCAGATCTCCTGAACCGATTTTACTTGTTTAAGATTGGAGTTAAAAAATGGTCTTTACCTATGCTCCGTAAGACCATAACTAGAATAATTAAAGAGGGTAAGGCAAAAAAATATTGTTTTTATGAGATATATTGCTTACATGAGACGAAGGAAGCTCAAAAAAGTATAAGATGTTGGCCGACGAGGCGAAGAACAGACGGTTGTGCTCGATATCAAAAGCAGAAATAAGAAGAGTTTCCTCTTCGGATTGCAAGCCAAGTTCGAACGAAATGAATGAAGAAAGCTTGAGGTTTTTCATCTCTATCTGCCCGACTACAATATGAGAGAAAGTGGGCAAATCCTGGTTTACTCAGAGATGCGGTACGGAGCGACGAAAGAAACTATGGCGCCAGATGCTACGGAGACAAAGAATATGTAGAAGGTCGGCGGCGACGAGCGACGAGCGACGGGCGACGAGCGACGGGCGGCGGGAGTGGGACAGAGAAATTCTGGAGATCGAGGGCACCCGAATCGGAAGTTGCGCCGCGGTAAGCACTGAACCGTGTTCGCGCGAGCCAGAGCGAGATCGGAGATTCCGATAGTGGAATATTGGGTTAGGGTAAACCAATTTGCATTTTTAAAAATTGTTTTATAGATACTATCCATATTCAATTAAATTAATATTCAAAATATTATATTTATGTGAAATATAAGTAATTAAATATATAATACATATTTTGTGCTACAATATTTGCAATAGCACAAAGAGTTTATTCCTAAAAATAAAAATGCTAAAATGTGGAAAGATTTTCGGCTTATGAACTTAATATCTTATAAAACTATCTTTAAAATTATTGTTCATAGAATTAGTCTTTGTTTGCTTAAAATCATTTCTAAAAATTAATTTGAATTTATTGAAGGCATGATATCCATCTTAAAAAGCATGAGCATCATTAAATGTTAAAAAAATTACACTGATAGAGTTGGAGTTTAGTATTGTTGCGGGCTAAAGTATTCGAGGCGGTGGAGTGAGTAAATTTTTTTTTTCTCAACGATGCATGAATATCCAACACACAAACATAGAGAGTAAAGTAAAACACTCAATCTTTTTTACGTGGAAAGCATGAAGAGGAAAAAATCACGGGCCTCGCCCAGGTGAAAAGATTTTACTAAATTTTGAGTGAATTACAAAGGTTGACCCTTATCTTGACTTATAGGCGATCAAATTACATTAGTTTGGAGAGTTAAACAGATGTTTGACGACGGTTGGACAAAAGTCTAACAGCGTTCGAGTAGAAGTTCAGCTGATGGGGAATGATCCGACAAAGGCTTGGCGGCCAAGCAGTGTTCCGACGACTGTCAGGCTAAAGTCCGGCGATGGTCGGCGGTAAGGGGCCGGGTTGAAGTCCAACGGTGGTTGGTGGCCGCGCAGAGATTTGACGACGGTCGATGGGGATTCGCCAACGATGATGCTGGAGATGCATAACTATACATCAAAGAGATGCATAAATATAATTCATACTTGATTCGGAGTTAAGTGCTGTTATCATGTACAAATTGATTTTCTGATTGCGAAATGTCAATTTTATTGTAAAAATCCTATATATGTAGTAAATAAATTCACTACAGGAAAATCATTAGTTATTGATAGCCAAAATCTGTTGATAACCATGAAATTTAGTCGAAAAATCTGATTTTTTTGGCAGAACTTCATTTGACGGTAAATCACGCATCGAAATTTTATTCTGGCGGACTTACCGGTAGAATTCTGTCAAAAAAAGCAAAGTAGAAACTCCATTTAACTGGTATTAGTTTTGACGTTTTATCCACCAGATATTTTATTGCCAGTATTTCCGGACCAATCCAACGGATATATGCTGACAGATTTATCCAAAAGAAAATCAGTCGGAAATACCAATGGCAATTTTTGTCGGAATGTCGATACATTTTGTCACATCAATTTTTTGGTGGAAACTGTATAAAAAAAGTCAACCCTCTTAGGAAAATATTTTATGCAACATAACCTGCATAAAAATATTCCAAAATATATTCATTCAAACATAAACATTTAACCATAATCATCATCGAACATTGAACATAAACATTTTAAATTCATTGACCATTCAACAATGGAGAACTTCGGTGACGGAGGCAAGTGATGGAGCGAAAAAAAAATGAAGTGAGAAGAGTAACACCACAGAAAGGGAAATAGTGCTTTTTGCGGCGGATTATTCTCCATACCTATTTACAGCAGAAATTCCACCGGATATGTTTCTTCGTGTTTAAGTAAGATAGCCGAACTTCTGTCGAAAGTGTCGCCGTTAATTTTTGATGTAATTTTCGTCGAAATCAAATGTCGGTTTTTTACACTCCAGTGATTTTCCCTCCAGTAAATATCTAACGGACTTTCCTCCAAAAATTTTGACACTAATTTTTTGATGGAATATCCGTCGATCATACCGCCGCTTATACCGGCTAACAATTATCCGTCGGAAAATCCAACGATAAGGAATCATTTTCCTATAGTGATTTTAGTTGGAATTTACATATGGTATTTATCCTATAACTATTTATCTACTTGATCACTTAGTTTTGTGATGCCATCAATATCAAATAGCACTGATAACGCAACATTTGGCTAGTAAAGATGATATCCATATTTCCCATGGATATATATTATGCTCATATTAATAAGTGATATCATGAATATGATGAGCTCATGATTTATAAATTGAGTGAGATTTCTTACCTAAGCCAGTAAATCCCTTTTCTCCTATTTACTTTGGCTAAACATAGAAAGGATTTAGGGAGTTCAGAGAGAAAGTGAGGAGAGAGAAAAAGAAAACATAGATTTGGAGATCACGATGTGATTTTTGGCAGTCGATCTTGTTGGGATATTTACTTCATCTCGTCAAAGGTGCTGAATGATCATTTTGGCCTACCTAAATAGCTTAATATCTAATCCCACTTTAATACTTTATTAAAATCCTTTTTTTCCTTAATACATATTCGCACAATAGAGACATGCTATGGAAATTTGAGAGAAGTGAGGAGAGAAAATATAACTTGGATTTTGGAGGCCGTAGAGAAATTTTCAGTCGGAGCTATTGGAAATTTTGCTCGTCTCATTGTAAGAAATCATTACCTTATTTTTTATTTTAATAATTTTATAATTTTGATATTTTTTTTATCAAATTTGTATTTTCATTATCAAAAAATGAAAATAATTTTGTACTAGTAAAACTTTTACCACATAACTTTTAATATGTGATAGATCTCGTCAATATGAGCAATTTAATTGAAACATATTGAATTTTTAATAGTTCAATTGGAAGATATAATTTTTTGAAGTAAATACATAACAAATAAATTTGATAGATTTTTCCATATTTATAATTTTTTGCATTTCATACATGATATTGTCTTACATTGCATATAAAAGATAGGATTTATATGCAAGCAAAGAAGACCGACTGTTAACATTATAATGAATATGCATTTGTTGTTTAAATATAATACCTTACACAAGTGAATAGACTCATGAGCTTTTCTTTAAATAAAAAGTTGATAGTGTAATCCAAGTTGTATCATGTAACTGATTGACTAAATTACTCCAACATGTAGAGGGTGACGACTTTTAAATGATTATTGAAAGTCACCTATAAAAATAAATGATTAAAAGAAAAATAAAATATAAGATGAAATTTACAAATTGATAGCTATAATAGATAATAGATGTGTAGAATCTTGCTCTTGAGAGGAAGAAGCACTTCTTCTTGAGTTCTTGAGGACGAGGGAGGGAAGAAGAGAGGGAGAGAGCCAAATTCAAAAAACTTTATTTATTGGCCACCTTATTACAGCCTAAAGAGCTCCTAATTATAGAAACCTAAAAGCTATACAAATAGCAACACCAATGGTAATACAAGCCATACAAGAAACCTAAACAAAATATAATCCTAAATATATGACCAATATCCAACAATCTCCACATTGGTCCTAGATTTACACAACAAAAGATTTGTTCCCAAAGAACAGCTAAAGAACAACCCACCGATTTTGCTCGCCAATAAAGTCCACCGGACGGTTAATAAATTTCTTAAGAATTGCTCCACTGTATTCTTTAGTTTCCTACTTCACAATATCTATCTCCACCTCCCGACAGATCTTCTCCTGTCACACTGCATCCCACACACTCAAATCCGAGCACCAACTGTGCCTCACTTCCGTGCCCGTGCATCCACCTGCACCCTGCGCCTCGTGCCCGTGCCCTGAGCCTCCAACTTCACTCCCGCGCCTTGCACTCATGTGTTCTGACTCAAACCACTTCATGTACATATCCACCCATGCATTAAGCCTTGCGCTTTCACCTGCGCTCCACTCATGATAATCCCACGCCCTTCACTGCAGCGTCCGGCCAGCGCCCTACGCGTCCTTTACCAGTGCCTTGCGCTCCAATGCAACCTCCTCATGCACTGCACTACCTCGCACCTCCAAGCGCCCCGCACTCCCTGCATTGCTCCCCAAGAACATGCCGACTTCACCTCAATGTCTCCAAGATTCCACCAGAAGTCCAAAACTCGACCTCAAAAAGATCTAATCCGATCTTCTGTTACAAGATCATAATTTCAAGATCTTTTATCTTCTCAACTTGCTGGATGACTTCCGATGTCACCATGACATCATCTTATGCATAATCATTTTCAGAAAAGAATTCTTGTTCGTTTCTTGGCACCACGAAAGAACACAGCCTGTGCAACGTGCAATGCACACCTTGATCAAATCCAAGATCAAGAGTCTGTTCCTGCCTCCAGCCTTCTGTGAAATTGAAACAACAAAGACCTTCATCTGGACTTGTCGATCTGCGTAGAACCGCACAGAGCTTCCTCTTCTTGGATCTGTCAAAGTCCTCTTTATCTGCACCAGCGAGCCACCAAGCCTCATGGACCGAAGCCCTCACCAGGTCGTGATCAACGTGCTTCGCTCTGCCTATCCCGCACGAGTCCTCCCGTATCCGTTTTGCTTGGTCCGACGCCCATGACAGCTCCCCTTTTCTTACGATTAAGATCGAACTCCGCTTCAGCTCGAATGCCCTATCTCTGCCCTTCACGTGCGAGCCTTTCACACCCGCGCAAAGCTAGCGACTACCGCATGAAGAAGCCATGACCAAACCCTTTCTTCCGCGCAGTCTTCTGTTTGCGGCAAGAACTAGACATCCAGCCTTCGCCACCCAACTGGAAATAACCCCTTCCGTCTCCGGCTCCCTCACACAAAGCTGTGAACGAAACCAACTACCGCCAGTGTCTTGCACAATGGCCAGCAGCTTGCCTTTGCCTAGTGCCCAGTCTGTCCAATCTCCATTGCGAACTTCAGATCGTGGCACCAGGCCGCCGCCAAAGCCACCTCCGGCTTCTCTAGTCAACCACTCCCTTCTCCGAGCCTCAACACGACTTCTTTAGAGAAGAAACCTCCTCTCTTCCACCTCGAGATTGCCACCACCGTGGCTCTGATACTAAATGTAGAATCTTGCTCTAGAGAGGAAGAAGCACTTCCTCTTGAGTTCTTGAGGATGAGGGAGGGAAGAGGAGAGGGAGAGAGCCAAATTTAAAAAAACTTTATTTCTTGGCCACCTTATTACAACCTAAAGAGCTCCTATTTATAGACACCTAAACGCTATACAAATGGTAACACCAATGACTATATAAGCCATACAATAAACCTAAATAAAATACAATCCTAAATCTAGGACGGACCAATATCCACCAAGATGTATGAAAGAAAATAACACATTAAAGCTTTATTGTCCTGTATTATTTTATATTAGCTAATTTATATATAGAACTAAAATTGTATTAGTAGTATAATTGGTATTAGAATAGTTGTTAGAGGAATCCGCTTGTAACTAAAGCTATAAGAAGTGATTATGAGTTGGGTAGTATAGATTTGTCAGTTTTGTATTTCATTGATTGAATTGCATGTTGAGTTTGTGTGTTATTGATTAGGAATGAGAATTTTATCAGTGGATAGATAGACCCTATTGATCAAAATACACATAATGTATAGAGTGCAGCAATAACTCCAGTGAGTTCTGAATGTTTGATGCCGCTAGCTAGTGTGCTTGCACAGGCTATGAGTGTTGCTTATTGTAGATATGTGGGTCATAAGGAGTTAGACAAAGACACACATATATAGATGTTTCCTAAGTTAAAGTCCCTATTGTTTAAGGGAGCTATAGAGCCAAATGCAATAGATGATTGATTATTAAGGATAGAGAAGATATTTAATAGTATGCACTACCTAAAGAATAAAAAGGTACCACTTTTAGTGTTCCAATTTGAAGGAGAAGCATAAAGATAGCGTATAAGATAGCAACGAGAGAAATTTCATGGAAAGATAAATACAGAGATCATATGGATAGAGTTTGTTGATGTTTTCATAGATTGATTTGTACCTCCATCAGCTTGATAGCAGATACATGAGGCTTTCATGAGATTGGAACAGGGGAAGATGATAGTGATGCAGTATGAGGCGGAGTTTATAGCACTGCCTAGGTATGTACCTCAATTAGTTAATACTGCTAACAAAAAATGATACAAGTTCTTGAGAGGATTAAAGAAAGAATTGAGACATCCACTTGTAGTGTTGAGGATTTAAAAGTTTTTAGAGCTAATTAAGAGAGCAAGACTAGTGAAGAATGACTTGGATATTCCATAGTTTAGACATGTTATGTGCAAGAAGAGATCGAGAGATGATATAACTAAGAGAGAAAAAATTGTAAAGAGGGATAGATTTTCAGAAAGCATGAGAGGATCTGCATTTGAGTCAAGTGTGGGTGTACTAGAGTACTCGATGTGGTAAGAGATATAGTGGACCATGTTTTCTAATGACTAGACAGTGTTTTAGATGTGTGCAGCGAAGACACAAGATGGTAGATTATCCACTACAGTGATAGGGGACATGATTTGGATTCAAAGGGGAGTAAGCCAAGTAAGGCTATAGACAGAGGACCATGTGCTATAGAGAATACAATGAAGGGTCTAAGAGCAGTACATATGAAAGAAGAGTTCAAGAGTGATTAAAAGTTAAAGAAGACTTACACATTTTGCTACATCAATACTACCACATGTACGACCGAAAGTTTATAGTTTGATCCAGCAGGATGATAGGAATGTGCCTGTAGGATCCAGTGGTAGAATTTATAATCATTGAATTGATTGATTAGTAATTTTCATATTATATTTTGCTTGAATGGTATGTGAGAGTATGATTATTTTGAATGAACTCATGATTGATTACATGCATTATTTTGGAGGTTTTAAACGAATTTCAAATTGATTTATTAGTTTTGATATTTGTTTTGAAATGTATTGCTTTATTTTGAAGAATTTACGAATTGAGTTTATTTCTATTAATCTATTTTATCTGTGGAAATGTCGAGGGCATCATTTTTCTAAGATGAGGAGATTATAATAGCCTGTATTTTTTGGGATTTTAAAAATTATAAAAATAGATCTATAAATTAACTTATTTTATTTAAAAAATACCGGTGAAATTGGTTTGCAAAATGGATACCTAACTATCCAAAAATCTCAACTTGTATCGACAAATGTCAATTTCTTAAGGATTCGCACAAGTGTCCAAAATACAATAATATTTATCTTATAATGAAGACAATTTATGATTTGGACTTAAAATGATTCATAAAAAAATTATTTGACAGGGTTAAAATTTGGATCAAGAAAAACTTACATACACACGTTAGCTCTAGCACGCGGATGGTGGTGAGTATAGCGCCCCCTTTTGCTCTGATTTGAGTTTATTTGGAGTTGGAATCAAATTATTTGTAGCGTCAGTAAGTTCTTCTCGTTGAGACGTTTAATTTGATTATAAATTTGTTTAAATCAAAATTTGATTATCTTGAATTTAATTTTGAAATTTTCCAATTCAAATATTTTCTCAAGATTCGTTAAAACTTAATTTTTGAGGAAATTCTTATAAGATTTACGCCCATCTATTGGTGAAATTGGAGCAATTATTAAAAATTATTAATAAGATTAAATTATAGTTTTGATTTATATCTTATATTTGACTCAATAATAAATTAATGTAATTAATTAAAATATTGAGCTCATACATTAAAAAATTAAGCCGAATAAACCCCCTAATTAAAATAAAAATACATTAGTAGCACAATAAAATCCTTAGCCTTACACAAATTATTTTTATATAAAAGCATTTTACTTATGGTTTTATGCCTAAATCCATCCGCCATCTTCTTGTATTACTTATAAGCCGGTTACAAAACTTTCAGCGTTCGGTCTCCTCGGCTGGAAACCCTAGATCCTTCGATTTTTCTCGCCGTCCGCCTCCGATTTAGCAGCTCGTCTCTTTCGTTCCTCTGTCTGTCTAAACATGTCGACTGCCTTGGACATGTCCCTCGATGATCTGATCAAGAAGAACAAGTCATCTGGAGTTAATCCCCGAGGCCGGGGCAGAGGAGCCGGCCCCGGCCCTGCTCGGCGCCTCCCCAATCGATCTGCTAATCGGGTTGCTCCTTATTCCGTCCCGAGGGTATGGATAGGGTTTCGTATAACTTCGCCGGATCTCCATCTATCCACTTCTTCTCCCCTTTTTTACGGATCGATTTCACTTATATCGTTGTGGACGCCATCGGATCCAGGCTCCAGATTCGGCGTGGCAGCATGATTTCTTTGCGGATCAAATGCCGGCGTTTCAGAATCCAACCGCGGCAGCTAGAGCGACGGCCATTGAGACAGGAACCAAGCTTTACATCTCCAACTTGGATTACGGTGTTTCCAACGAGGACATTAAGGTTGATATTTATGTAGCTTGCTGAAGGTTTATTAGTTTTGTTTACCACTTCTTTGAATTGTTTCCTTCCTCGAGGAAGAGTTTTTTAATTTCTTAAAAGCTTTTTTGTACTAGTTGTTTTGTTCAATATATATTCTAAGGATTTATTAATTTTAAGCGCAACTCTAGTATTACATCCTCTAGTTTTATCTCTTTTTATGCAGACTGCAATCAATGATAAATTAAGCCACAAATCTTGAATTGACTTAACGTTGTGTAGCGTTAGTTTTACTTTTTCTGTACACATTTGGTGGCTTGAACCTTTTTATTTATATATGTTTTTATAGCTTGAACTATTTGATTTCGTTGTTTGAAGATAAATTAGTTTTGCACTCTAATGCTGATGATATCTTATCCAGGAGCTTTTCTCAGAGGTTGGTGATTTGAAACGACACTCTGTTCACTATGATAGAAGTGGAAGATCAAAGGTAAATTGTTTAGATTGGTTATGCGGTTATGCACTCTCTCAGAAACTAGTCCATGTAACTTGTTTTGATATTTTGGTATTATTTGTTTATAAATAAAGGGAACAGCAGAGGTTGTCTTTTCAAAGAGGGCAGATGCTTTAGCTGCTGTGAAAAGATATAACAATGTGCAGCTGGATGGGAAACCAATGAAAATAGAAATTGTTGGAACAAACATTCCAACACCTATGGTTGTGCCTCCCCTGTTGAATGACAACTTTAGAAATTTCAATCCAATCCCTAGAAGGTATTTTTTTTTCTTTTAAATACGTATTATAATAAATGTATCTACACTTGTATATATGTATTAATGTGTCAATATGTTTAGTTTAATTTGTATATTATTCATACAAATTTGCTCCTGTTTGCATTTATATGCATTCAACTATCAATGTTCATGTGTGCTAGTATATTAATGTCTGCATGGATATGAGGCTCTCCTTGAGGCCCGCATTTGCGCAATTTCAATAAAAAACGCATCGATGCTTACGCCTCAAGTTTTTTTTATGAGGCTTGCGCCTCAACCTGGTTGAGGCCCGCCTCGCCTCACTGGCATGAGGCTTACGCCTCACGCTATATATATTAAAACTTACATAAATCTTGAAGTAAATGCCCGACATTGGACTCTATAGGAGAGGAGGAAGGGGAGAGAGCAGTTCATCATAATGATGAATCAAATGAAGAACCCCTTAGTGATGACAATGCTGATGACTTATGAGTTCTTATGTGATATGTCATTGCTATTTATTTTTGGAAATTTGAATTATATGTTAATTAAAAGAATACTGGATTTGGGAAAGATAGAATTTTGAGTTGAACTATATTTCATGTTGTCTTATTATTGGGATATTTTGATTTCACTTAATATCTTATGCTTTTTTATATTTTATATTATTCACTCATTAGTATATAAAAAATTTATCATTTTATGTTTACGCAATCTTTTGATTTTGAGGCTTACGCCTCAAAACGCCTCAAGGCTTACGCCTCGCCTCACGAATGAAAAACGCCTCAATACCCAAATACGCAATTTTAAACATTGTTTACATGATTGTATATGTTTTGTCTATCTTACTGTAGCATATATGGTCTACAAGGCTCCAAGCATTCCAAGCTATGAAAGGGATTGGTGAATCTAAGGATACCATTGCATTGTCTTTACTTTATTTGATTCAAATCTGCAACTCCTTACTCATAGTAGCAATTATGACAATGATGGACAATTTATGCTTTTATGATGATGATGGACATTGCCTTTTCTCCTTTTTTGTTTTGCATCTCACTTTAGTTTGCATTAGTAACTTTATCATAGATTGTTTTAGTAACATTATTGCATTAGGGGCTTTTGTGGGTATATAGAAGGTTAAAGCTTTGTTAGTGCTGGTATGTCAAATTTTATGTCGCCGGAAATAAATAGCAATGTGAGGGCCATTGTACTAGTATTTGTCCTCTCATTTTATTTTTCTTCCTCACCTCCTCCTTACCTTTCTTTTTATGTGTTCTGTTGCACAATTCGTGCAAGTGTGATGGTTTGATTTTGCGGTGTGCAATCTGACTATGTCTTACTCCTACATCTTATCTTTACTTATATTATCAGTTGGCTTCCTTTTTTTTTGGGTTTGGTTTGTTTGCCAGTTCATGCAGTAAATTATTATCCTTTGCTCTTCCTTTGCGCTTCCCTTCCACATAAATTTATATTAATGCATGCATGAATTTCTTTCTTTATGTATCAGTGGTCTGGGAAGAGGTGTTCCTAGTGGACGTTCACGAGGTGGTGGATTTGGTGGCGGCGGCGGCGGCAGCAGCAGCGGTGTCCGTGGAAGGGGCCGAGGACGTGGTCGAGGAAGAGGACGTGGTGAATCTGTTTCTGTCGCTGATCTTGATGCTGATTTAGACAAATACCATTCAGAGGCTATGCAGACCAACTGAATTGCTGTTTTAGGATTCCGTAGTGTACTTCAAGTGATGGTGTAATTGCAGAGGAAAGGACTGAATGTTTATCTAGAGTATTCTAGTACGTATGAAAGTTTGATTTATTTTTGTTGTTTAGATTTCAAGATCCTGTTTGGCTTTAAATGAACATCTGATGACTGTCTTGCGTGAAAAAAAAATCAAATTTGTTCTAATTTATTCTCTTTGCCTAAAAAATGCTACCATGCCTAATCATGGAAACAACTTGGGAGAGAATGATGTGTTATCCTAAGTCTCGAGGGCTTGCTTGCATTCATCATTTTCAATTCCGCTTAGCAAATTTATCCAGTACATTTCATGCAACTTCAGCTGTCTAATTTAAAGGTTAGCTTCTTCTCTTTGCAATCTGTTCATTAACCTTACTGCATCTATATTCATACTTATAAGTCATTGTGAATTTTTCATTATGCATTCCTGTTTAATTAGCTAATTTTTTTTTCATTTTTATTTTGTTCTTTTTTATTATTATTATTTTTTGTAGACTGCTAATTTTGCATTGTGAATCGGCCAACATTCAGGTCTCTGTTATCTATGGTTAGCTTTAGAATGGCAGAGAACTTGATGGATAAAAAAATTGTAGTTTAACTTCAACTTGTATGAGTTAGGTTATTAGTGAATATTAGTCAATGAACATTACATTATTTGTCTGGTTTGACATGGAGTTTGACATAAAGTGTGAATTTGTTGCTGTATAATTATCAAATTGAGTTTATTTTCTTATTAGATTGATTTTTAGTGGTGATTATCTGGATAAATTTTTAATTTTCAGCTATATTTGAATTTTTGTGTAGTAAAGCAAAGTTTTGTGAGCCTACTAACATCAGAGAGCAATTAGTTAAGTCACCCAGCTGAATATATACTGCATCTGTATTGTTTATACATCAATTGAGTCCATTATTGTTGGTCTTTTACATATAAACTGATCTCAAGTCGATGGCCACTATTACATATTGTTATGTATGGACAAATTCATATGGATTATAGCCTTCATATGTATAGATTTTTAAATTTAAATAAATTTGAGAAGTACTCCTATTAATGAAAAAAAAACCGATCAATAAATCTTAATATATTATGTTATGCCCTTAAAATCATGGCCAATACATCTCCAATTCAAAAATACGATCATCAAATATTTAGAAAATTATGCTGCAAGCTTTTTAATAGACTTTGTGCAAAATTTCTTTATCAGGGTGATACCATTACAAAGAAACTTCATCTTATCTATTAGAAGAGGACTTGTAAGCCTAAGCACTAAGGTGATCTGAGAGTTTCATCAATTCTAGCTCTTTGTCAATAGGTATAACTGCTCTCTCATTTAGCATTACTAAATTCAAATTCTCTTCTTGCTTGTTGATGCAACAAAAAATATGTACCTGCATAGAACCCTGCTACTCATAAGGCCTTCATTTACTAGAAAAACTTGAGAAAAACAACCGAATTGGTGAAGTAGAATTTCTCCTTCAACATTACTATCTCCAATTCTCTCTTTTTATTTTGGGAACCATGGTGCAGCGGTTTATCTCTGTGTGAGCTGCTTGATCCGACAGACCGACACCTATAACTCCCTCAATACCCATGAATGCTCCCATCTGTACCAACATTCTTGATAGCGGCTGGAAATTACACCCATCTTTTCTTGCTAATGTTTATTTTCTTATTAGTCGGTTGCATATATTTACTGAATCTGCTCTTTGCTCGATCTTGAAAGGTTTTGAAAAAACCCCTCATTTAAAGTATTTATCAACTCATTTTATGCTGAGGATGGACCTTGTTACTCGGAGCAAATATTTATGGTATAAAAACCTTGCTCTTCGGTTTTCCTGTTTTGCTTGGTTGGGTTTAGCTGGAGGATTAAAAATGGCTGATGTTTTGGTTAGTATTAGGCTTCATTTAGGACGGCTTTCTTACTGAGCACCTTTCTGGCATAAAGAAAATAATAATTTTTTAATTAAAAAGTTGCTTTAAGAAGCAATAAGAAAGCCGTCCCAAACAAAGCCTTAATACCAACGCCAATGGTTGCTGCAACTTCTTTTTGTGTGTTATGAATATGTTAATCACCTTTTCTTTATTTGCATAATTCTCCCTTGGACAACAACGTTTTTTTTGCCGAAATTGAATTTGATGCAACTATTTGAGTAAATCTTTGAGATGAGTCATGTTCTGCTGCTTGATCTATTTTTTTTTTTTTTTTTTTCTTTTTTTACTACATATGGAGGGAGACAAACATAGGAGATATGGAAACTCAATTAATAGCTCCTCGTCTATATGTATTAATATCATGAGAGCTATCAATTACAAAATTTGAAAATGGAGAAAGTTTTAACAGATCAAACATCTTATTTACGATCGGTTAGGTTTGATCTTGTGGATTTTCTGGACTTGATGAATGACTGATTCACCTAATCATCTATGCCGGTGGGTCTCAGTACTGCTGCCATATGTTTGTTAGCTAAATGAGGCAATGGTAAAAAAGAGTGAACTGAGAATAATGCCTTCTTGTTGATTGCCAAATTAAAAAATAGAGACCAGCGATTTTAAGGAGTTTTGGATGTATTTGTTATTATACCTTTTAGTAAAGGGTGAGTCATGCTAATTTTGTTGTGCAATATAAAGCAAAAAATAGAAGAATCACACAATCAACACAAAGTAATTTATGTGGTTTGACAAAGAATCGCCTATGTTCATGGGGAGGGGATGATCTATTATTTCTGTTTGATGAGAGAAATGGAATTACAATGCTCTTTATATAACATCAGCCCAATACAAAGAAAGGTACAAACTTAATATAGACGACTACCTCTCAAACACCAAGCCTACATCAATTGTATTTTTTAGAAATCTCATAATACTCTTCACAACCTGCCAATGACATTTTTCTAGATCATGCGTGAACTTACTCACAATATTAATTGTTTGTGCAATATTTGGTATAGTACAAACCATGATATATGTCAGACTGCCAATTGCACTAGTATAAGGAACAAATTGCATATCTTTCCTCTCATGATCATCTTTAGGACACTGATCTGAACTCAGAACTACAAATGAGATACAATGGGTAGACTCACAGCCTTGCTCGAGTCATCAACCCTAAACTTTTTCTACACCTTTGAAACATAAGCTTCTTGTGAGAGTTAAACATTCCTAGTTGCCTTGCCCCTAAGAATCTCTATACCAAGAATTTTGCAAGCTTTTAACCCAACTTCTTCTTCTCAAAATGTTTAGACAGTTGCTTCTTCATCCTATTAATCTCAATCTGATTAGCAGATGCAATCAACATGTCATCAACATATAAAAGAAGATGGATGAACTCACCACTGGTCTGTTTTTTAAAATATGCATAATGATTGTAATGGCTCCTTGTGTTTTACTCTCCCATCATGAACTGATCAAAGTTCTTATACCACTACCATGGTGACAACTTCAACCCATATAAAGACATGTCAAATATGCAAACCAAGCCTTTTGAGGCTCCATATTTAGGAGGTTATAACAAGTAGATTTCTTCTTGTAATTTCATGTGTTAAGAAGGCAATTTTCACATTGAGCGACTCCAAAATCAGATCATAGTATGCTACAAGCGCTAAGAGAATGCAAATTGAGGGATGCTTAACCATTGGGGAAAACATCTCATCATAATCAATCCCTTCCCATATTGCAAAGCTTTTTTCTACCAAATTAGCCTTGTACCCTACATCAATTCCATGAGATCATTCTTTTCATACACCAATTTGCACCTAATGGCTTTTCTTCCTAGAGGAAGCTTCACCAACCTCTAAATATTGTACTTCTGAATATACTCTAAATAGCATTCGAAAAATTATAGAAATTTTCGACCAAGTTGCATAAATATAAATAGCAGATAAGACAATTCAAATTGACCAATTTTCCATCAAAGTTTATTTGATACATGCAGTTAACCGACTCCTTTGAAGGCAAAATGATTACGTGCAATCACGGGACGCCTCTGGTGCGTGACGTCACCAATATGCTGTATATTATTAGTACCATTGTGTATTGAATGACATGATATGTTCTGATTTTCCTCCGGACGGTCTGGTAACTGCACGTAATAATCTCACTTTGAAGAGACATCAAATAAATTCAACCGGCCAGTAGTAGCAATTATCTTTATAGCCGATTGCCTAGCAGACATGGCAGCTGAAAGCCTAATTAGATCCATAATTAAAAGTGACATCTTGCAAGGATACGTCAACACCATCATTTTTGACCTGGTGACAGAGACGATCGACTGCTAATGGCTTTGCCAACTCCAGCCATGGCTCCGATAGTAATGCAGCACAAGATAAAAAGATCATCATTTGGAACCATCAATGCTCTGTTGGCCATAGCACCAACAACTTTATTGGACAGCCGGACTCGAATCGGATCGGTGTGACCACCACGGCAAGGCCTGGGCAGTAGAGAAGTAGGCAATCCTGTTGTTGCCAGTCACAACAATTGAGGAAAGCTAGAAGGTCCCAAATGGCAGTCAACCCTTCTTGCAGGATGCACACTAACAGGCAACAGCCATGATTGAATGAGGCAAAACAATTCGAACAAATTTTTAACTACTCAAGTTTATAAACCAAATTAAGCAAATAATAATAACAACAACATTAAGCCTTTGTCCCACTACGTGAGGTCGGCTACATGAATTTTTTTTTCGCCATTGTGTCTGGTTAAAAGTCAAATTCTCATTTAAATCTAATAAAGAAAGATCATTTCTAATATTTTCTAACTAAGTCTTTTCAGGTTTACCTCTACCTTTCTTAACATAAGTCAAATCTAATACCTCAACTTTCTTAATCGGGTCATTGGAAGGCCTCCATCTAATGTGACCAAACCATCTAAGGCGGCTCTCTCTAATCTTATCTTCCACTGGAGCTACTCCAACCTTTTCACATATATGCTCATTTCGTATCCTATGTCTAAGGGTCAAATCACTAATCCACCTAAGCATCATCATCTCTTCTACACTTAACTTAGTATTATGTTTCTCTTTTAATTGCCAACATTCGACACTATAAAGCATTGCATGTCTCACCACCATCTTATATAATTTTCTCTCAAGTTTGAGGGAGACTTTTTTATCGCACAATAAGCCCGATGCATTCATCCACTTCAACCATCCAATTTGAATTCTGCTGAAAATATTTTCATCAATTTTATCA